GTGTGGTAGACGTTACAATAAGCAATGCTATTGGTATCTGATAAACGATGCCATAGGGGGTGGTACAGGGATCCAGTAAACGTTACCATAAGGGATGGTACAGGGATCAAGTAAACGTTACCATAAGGGAGCAATGCTACAAGGATGTGGTAAACGTTACAATAAATAATACTAATAGCATCTCGAAGCGAAATGAAAAAATCCAGAAGGTATGTTTCCATCTCTTGTCGTTTTTGAAGCCCTCCGGTTATGTTTCCTACAGCAGCCTTGGCTAAGCAATCGAACTCGGGACATTCTAGTTCATATCCAGGAGTTACTGAAGAATTTAAGGGTTCCGATTATAATTTGTAAGTACATTATTATTAGCCACTGTGGTTCAATGAGTATGGCACGGACTCCCTTACCAGGATGACTCTGCTTCCGGGGATAAAGTAACAGTTGATATTTTTCAGATTGCTTACCCAGGTCTGAAAATCCAGAGAAAAATTTCTCACAAACCCTAAATCTTATGTTTTGCAACCCAGGTCTTACCCACTGAGCCACCGTGGCTCCCATGACCAAACAAGATTAAAGCCTAGCGAATTATTGAAATAATCTGAAGGATACTGTTACATTATCTAAATGAAATCAGAGAGAGAGAGAGAGAGGTTAAAGTTCACTGACACAAATGGTTTAATTTTATTTCAATAATTCGCTTGTGCATAAGGGTCTTTAGCAGTGGGAGGAAACCAGAGAAAACCATGAGGTTGGACAGGCGACCCTACTCCTTTTCAGTACAACCGGACCAGTTGACTCAATGATAGACCCTATGATACAGCGCACACATGTTAACCATTTGGCCATCCAACCCCCTAATGAAATAAATAACAAGAGTCATAGTTTATAATTATTGAAAATTTATTCTAAATGGAATGAAGATAGTATACAGTATTTGGTTACAGAACAATTTGAACAAAACTAGAGATACACTTTAAAAAAACACCAAAGTGGAATTTCAATACAGATATAATTCTTCTAAAATATGGAATCCAATATTTTCTAAGATATAGAATTTAATATAGTTTGTTATTCAGATTCTATATAATGGGTATGATAATAAATTAGAGCATAATTTACAAAAAGTCTTTACTGAGATCTTCTAACAGGACAAACAATACATTTAATTAATTAACTAATTAGAGGTCATTAATTAGGTTAATAATATCTATAATTTATGGGGCACTTATGGAATGTTGTTTTTTTAAAAAAAAGGCATAACATTATAATAATCTACAAATAACTATCTGAAATAGTTTTATTCGTATTTGAATATTAAAATCTTTAATTAATTGGTTTAGATAAATAATATGTCATTCGATTAAATTTCTTTTTAAAAATTCAATAAAATGATCATATAATTCAAAAGGCATTTAAATTTCCAAATAGTTTTATTCATATTTAAATATTAAAATCTTTAATTAATTAGTTTAGATAAATAATATGTCATTCAATTAAATTTCTTTAAAAATTCAATGAAATGATTATATAATTCAAAAGGCATTTTAAAATAGAATCAGATCAACATTTATAAAATTTAAAAATGAGAAACTTTAACATCTATCTACATATTAGAATGAGCATAATTATTTTTATCTATGTATATATATGAGCATTTTAAAACTAACTAGCTGTGGTTTGACCTTGGTGATTAACAATTATTATCAACAGAAATAATAGATGCATTATGCAAGAACAAAATCTGTTTTCCAATTTTTTTTTTTCTAGCTTCAAATGTTATATAGATATCGATTCACTTCTTACATAATGCATCTTGAACATTCACATAAATGAAAAAATGATTTATCTAACAAGCAGGACTGGAAATAAAAATATTTAAAACACAGATGTAACATCATTCTTTGAAGTTGGCATACCATTATTTCCAATAATGTACGGGCAACTTGCCAATCGTACATTATCTATACTTGATGAAATATTGAACTTGTGTGATATATTTCTGTATTTTAAGTTGTTTAATAATAATGGTCTCAAGCTAAAGACATTGCATAATATATTGAAACAACACTCGGCTTACGCCTTGTGCATTATCAATATATTACTTAATGTCTTGCTCTCGACCATTAAACAAAACATATTGTACCTGACAGAATATCAATCACTACTAAACCAGTGTCAGACATTCTGAACTTTGTTTAAGATGCATGTATTAATAAAATCAATAAAAACACACAAAAAAAATAGAAATCGGTGCCCGACAAAATGACAGACACAAGATGGATTGTGTCTTACTAAATTTCCATGTCTGTGACAGGTGCTTAATTTCCAGGCTTGCTGCTGAGAATAAAATGAATCTAAAAATATCTACAATAAAAAACTGAATATATCGGACAAGATAAATATCTATTTAATGGTCGTTTTGTATCTAACAGAATTGAACTAATCTTAGACTAGCCTCCACAAACCAATCACATTTAAATCTCCACCAGACAAAACCTTATTTGGTCAACTGTTTATAGACTGTTAATCTGTCACAGTTTGTAAAAATTCCATTATTCAAATTAAATAGAAATATTTAGAAAAAAAACACATGGGACTTGGGACTTCTATAAATATATCTACATTAAAAGGGAATAAACCATCTATAAATTAGTAAAACTGGTCAAATGAAGGCTTAATTTATTATCTAAAAATTTACAAATAGATTTCTATTTATCACAGTTTAAAAGATGGACAAGAAGCACTTATATAGAATAAACATTTGACATATCACAGAAAAATTAACACTTAATATCTACATAAAATATACATATTTATATACCATAATTGTCTTTGATCTATAACATAAATATATATATACTATACATCAAATTCCAGTGGTAAAGAATATAACACTTTCTACACATTAATGAATTTTCATTTTTATTAATAGATGTACCATATAGACATTTTCTTAAATGACATCATACTTGGAACTGTGGGGGACCTGATAGGCAAAAACATTCATTTTTTCTATAGCATAAAATATTACACTTTCTACACATTTAAATATATGAAAGTGTGAGTAACTAATGGTACAGATTAGTATAGAATATTACACATTCTAAACATTTAAACATATTTATGAAATTTTTCTTTTTACCAATAAATGTACTATACAAGAGTAATAAACAAAAATGGATACTTATGGAAAACAGCTATTAGTTTATTTAGGTGACGTTTGGATAACATTGAGGTGAGGGCATTGGTAAGTTTTCGTAACTTTTGTCCCAATCTACTTGTACTGTATTTAGGTTCTAGTACAATAAATTATGTTCAAACCAGGGTGAATGCAAATGGAATTATGTGTTAAAATGACACCCTACTGTAGTTTTTATGTCATTTAAAGCAACATCGCCGTGTATGCTTATTATCTGGCCATTTCATTAGCCCCAAATTGGAAACATTAAAGTCGTGTGACAAAAGAAATGTTCTGTTTATTTTCTTTATACCAAAGATTATTATTATTATTATTATAATTATTATTATTCTAAATGTAGTCATGTTTGAAATAAATTGATCTTTAATGAATTCTTTGTGTTTTAGATTGTTCTGTATACTGAGCAAATCTTGAATTTATAAAACCAAAATGTTTGGTAATGCTATGTAAATTCCACACACGAATACCAAATTGTGACGTAGAATGAGTAAGACAAGTCTGGGGACCGGATGAACGTTGTGGTCATCATTGACTCGGGGATCCGGTAAAATCTACAATTACCAATGATGATTCGGGGATCTGGTAAAAGTTACCATTACCAATGACGGTTCGGGGATCTGATCATTGTTATGTGGATCTGATAACCCCGGTAATTGTGAGGGTGGTGGGATACAATACATACAGTGACGCCATAGCAATACTACGGGGATGTGGTAGACGTTACAGTAAGCAATGCTACAGGGATGTGGTAAACGTTATAATATTAATAAGCGATGCTACGGGAGTGGGAGTTAGACCTTACAGTACGCTATGCTACAGGGATGTGGTAGATATTACAATAAGCAATGCTACGGGGATGTGGTGACGTTACAATGAGCAATGCTTCAGGGGTGTGGTAGACGTTACAATAAGCAATGCTATTGGTATCTGATAAACGATGCCATAGGGGGTGGTACAGGGATCCAGTAAACGTTACCATAAGGGATGGTACAGGGATCAAGTAAACGTTACCATAAGGGAGCAATGCTACAAGGATGTGGTAAACGTTACAATAAATAATACTAATAGCATCTCGAAGCGAAATGAAAAAATCCAGAAGGTATGTTTCCATCTCTTGTCGTTTTTGAAGCCCTCCGGTTATGTTTCCTACAGCAGCCTTGGCTAAGCAATCGAACTCGGGACATTCTAGTTCATATCCAGGAGTTACTGAAGAATTTAAGGGTTCCGATTATAATTTGTAAGTACATTATTATTAGCCACTGTGGTTCAATGAGTATGGCACGGACTCCCTTACCAGGATGACTCTGCTTCCGGGGATAAAGTAACAGTTGATATTTTTCAGATTGCTTACCCAGGTCTGAAAATCCAGAGAAAAATTTCTCACAAACCCTAAATCTTATGTTTTGCAACCCAGGTCTTACCCACTGAGCCACCGTGGCTCCCATGACCAAACAAGATTAAAGCCTAGCGAATTATTGAAATAATCTGAAGGATACTGTTACATTATCTAAATGAAATCAGAGAGAGAGAGAGAGAGGTTAAAGTTCACTGACACAAATGGTTTAATTTTATTTCAATAATTCGCTTGTGCATAAGGGTCTTTAGCAGTGGGAGGAAACCAGAGAAAACCATGAGGTTGGACAGGCGACCCTACTCCTTTTCAGTACAACCGGACCAGTTGACTCAATGACAGACCTTATGATACAGCGCACACGTGCTAACCATTTGGCCATCCAACCCCCTAATGAAATAAACAACAAGAGTCATAGTTTATAATTATTGAAAATTTATTCTAAATGGAATGAAGATAGTATACAGTATTTGGTTACAGAACAATTTGAACAAAACTAGAGATACACTTTAAAAAAACACCAAAGTGGAATTTCAATACAGATATAATTCTTCTAAAATATGGAATTCAATATTTTCTAAGATATAGAATTTAATATAGTTTGTTATTCAGATTCTATATAATGGGTATGATAATAAATTAGAGCATAATTTACAAAAGGTCTTTACTGAGATCTTCTAACAGGACAAACAATACATTTAATTAATTAACTAATTATGTCATTAATTAGGTTAATAATATCTATAATTTATGGGGCACTTATGGAATTTTGTTTTAAAAAAAAAGGCATAACATTATAATAATCTACAAATAACTATCTGAAATAGTTTTATTCGTATTTGAATATTAAAATCTTTAATTAATTGGTTTAGATAAATAATATGTCATTCGATTAAATTTTTTTTTAAAAATTCAATAAAATGATCATATAATTCAAAAGGCATTTAAATTTCCAAATAGTTTTATTCATATTTAAATATTAAAATCTTTAATTAATTAGTTTAGATAAATAATATGTCATTCAATTAAATTTCTTTAAAAATTCAATGAAATGATTATATAATTCAAAAGGCATTTTAAAATAGTATCAGATCAACATTTATAAAATTTAAAAATGAGAAACTTTAACATCTATCTACATATTAGAATGAGCATAATTATTTTTATCTATGTATATATATGAGCATTTTAAAACTAACTAGCTGTGGTTTGACCTTGGTGATTAACAATTATTATCAACAGAAATAATAGATGCATTATGCAAGAACAAAATCTGTCTTCCAATTTTTATTTTTCTAGATCGATTCACTTCTTACATAATGCATCTTTAACATTCACATAAATGAAAAAATGATTTATCTAACAAGCAGGACTGGAAATAAAAATATTTAAAACACAGATGTAACATTATTCTTTGAAGTTGGCATACCATTATTTCCAATAATGTATGGGCAACTTGCCAATCGTACATTATCTATACTAGATGAAATATTGAACTTGTGTGATATATTTCTGTATTTTAAGTTGTTTAATAATAATGGTCTCAAGCTAAAGACATTGCATAATATATTGAAACAACACTCGGCTTACGCCTTGTGCATTATCAATATATTACTTAATGTTTCGCTCTCGACCATTAAACAAAACATATTGTACCTGACAGAATATCAATCACTACTAAACCAGTGTCAGACATTCTGAACTTTGTTTAAGATGCATGTATTAATAAAATCAATAAAAACACACAAAAAAAATAGAAATCGGTGCCCGACAAAATGACAGACACAAGATGGATTGTGTCTTACTAAATTTCCATGTCTGTGACAGGTGCTTAATTTCCAGGCTTGCTGCTGAGAATAAAATGAATCTAAAAATATCTACAATAAAAAACTGAATATATCGGACAAGATAAATATTTATTTAATGGTCGTTTTGTATCTAACAGAATTGAACTAATCTTAGACTAGCCTACACAAACCAATCACATTAAAATCTCCGCCAGACAAAACCTTATTTGGTCAACTGTTTATAGACTATTAATCTGTCACAGTTTGTAAAAATTCCATTCTTCAAATTAAAAAGAAATATTTAGAAAAAAAACACATGGGACTTGGAACTTCTATAAATATATCTACATTAAAAGGGAATAAACCATCTATAAATTAGTAAAACTGGTCAAATGAAGGCTTAATTTATTATCTAAAACTTTACAAATAGATTTCTATTTATCACAGTTTAAAAGATGGACAAGAAGCACTTATATAGAATAAACATTTGACATATCACAGAAAAATTAACACTTAATATCTACATAAAATATACATATTTATATACCATAATTGTCTTTGATCTATAACATAAATATATATATACTATACATCAAATTCCAGTGGTAAAGAATATAACACTTTCTAAACATTAATGAATTTTCATTTTTATTAATAGATGTACCATATAGACATTTTCTTAAATGACATCATACTTGGAACTGTGGGGGACCTGATAGGCAAAAACATTCATTTTTTCTATAGCATAAAATATTACTTTCTACACATTTAAATATATGAAAGTGTGAGTAACTAATGGTATAGATTAGTATAGAATATTACACATTCTAAACATTTAAACATATTTATGAAATTTTTCTTTTTACCAATAAATGTACTATACAAGAGTAATAAACAAAAATGGATACTTATGGAAAACAGCTATTAGTTTATTTAGGTGACGTTTGGATAACATTGAGGTGAGGGCATTGGTAAGTTTTCGTAACTTTTGTCCCAATCCACTTGTACTGTATTTAGGTTCTAGTACAATAAATTATGTTCAAACCAAGAGAGAATATTCCTTGAAACGTTGCCAAAATATACATGTAGCTATTTTTCCACTTTTGTTTATTACTCCAGTCATTTCTTACAGAATGCCACTTAAAGAAGATTATTTACGCAACCTTTTGTTTTAAAAAAACAAAACAAATCTGATTTATTTATTTAATTAATATTTTTATAAAAGTTTTAATGTATTATAAATTCTCTTTTCAAATGATAAAATGTACATAAGGAAGATATTAATACCGGTAAACATGATGAAAAAAAAGATTCTATTTTCAAAGATGATTAATTCTTCTATTCTACTTCAACTTGTTTTCTCTGAAATAAAAATCCAATTATTTTAGAACAAAGAATTTAGTAATATATATAAAATGGGGTTTAACATCCTACTTTTCTGTTCCCATCCGAATGACTAGACAGAGAAAACCCAAAAGGTTAGGCAGTGGACCTACGCCTTGTGCAAGTGTAGGATCGAAACCATTCGCCCCCCCCCCCCACACACACACACACACCCAAGCCACCATATACAGCCATGCACCTAAAGAACATCTACATCTAGTCTGAACACTCTTCCTCAATTAGAAATGAAAATGAAAATAAAAAATGAAATGAAATAGGGTTTAACATGCTACTGTACTGCTCCGACTGGGCGAATGAAGATGGGCATACGCCATGCCGTGTGCTATAAAAGAAGTTTTCCCCGAACAGCTGCACTACGGCCTACTCTTATACCAATTCCAACTGCCAAGGGATCTTTTATGTTCATGACAATGTGTACACGGGACCTCGGTTTTATCATCCCATCTGAACGACTAGACAGCTGTCCTTGTCAACCCCTCCATCCTGCACCACTGACAAGGGGAAACCATGCCAGAAAATCCTGATGAACTTTCTTGGCCAACACCAGATCAAACCTGCGACCTCCAGACTCGCGAACCAGTGTCTTACTCACTTAGCCACCGTGGGTCCGCCTCAATTAGAAGCAGAGTTATTGTGTTCCTAAAGGTGTGACAAACAGATGAACTCAGTCAAGACATTCACCTAACCACAATTTTCTACCTCCATTAAACAGAAAGTGTGACAGACTGATGAATACAAACAGTGGACAACTCATTTCATTAGTCTTCTGGTTTCTCCAATAGGGGTGGTAGGGGAGTAGGGGTGGGGTTGGGTGGTTGGACAAATACAAACAGTTAATGTTATTCAGACTGGTCACAGATTAAAGTCATTTTATCCTTTGTCTATTTAAAATTCACTTACTAAAATTTCTCCCTTTAAACTCATAACTCTCTGATCCTGTCTTCGTAATTCCTCTTCTTTAGAACATAACTGATCTTTCAATGACTTTATTTCAAAATCTTTCTTTTTAAGTAATTCTTTCTGGGCCTTTTTCTGTACTATTGTCTAAAAAAATATAACAGAATATTAACCAACCCATCAATGTTTTGAAACAAAAAATATAACCTTCACTAATTGAATTAACACATAACAAATAAATAGATAGATTGAAATGGGGTTTAACTTCCACTCGACACAAACTAGGTCATTTCGGGACTAACACATGGTTTAATTATATTTCAATAATTCGCTTGTGTGTAGGGGTCTTTAGCCATTGGAGGAGACTGGAGGGCCCAGAGAAAACCCAAAAGGTTGGACATACAATGCTACTTCTTGTCACGTACAACCCGGGAATCGAAACCACACCAGTTGACTCAATGACAGACCTTGTGATACAGCGCGCACGTGCTAACCTTTAGCCATCCAAGCCCCCGAATTAACACATGAACTCTGCCTAATTTAATACACACTTTTTCTTCCTTATTAGAGTTAAATGAAATGAAATGGGCTTTAACATCCTACTGTTCTGCTCCAACTGGGCTAATGAAGACGGCATACACCATACAGTGTGCTAGGATGGAAATTTTGCCTTGGCAGCGGCACTATGGCTTACTCTTATATCGAATTCCAACTGTCAAGGGATCTTTTATGTGCACACCAATGTGTACATTGGACCTCAGGTTTTTTGTCCCATCTGAATGACTAGACAGCTGTCCTTATCAGGTCCTCTGTCCTGCATCATTGACAAGGGGGAACCACACCGAAATATCTGGATGAACTTTTTTCGGCCAATGCAGGGATCGAACACGCAACCTCCAGACTAGCGAGCCATCGTCTTACCCACTTAGCCACGGTGGCCCCAAGAGAATTAAAGGACAATATTTGTTTTGCGCATTTATCACATATGTGATAGAACTGGTTAAACACATTCCCAATATAATTATAACACACAGATCATTGCTACGGTAGATGCTAAACGAAAATTTCAAGAAACGGAAGTGACGCAAAAAAATGAAAAACAAGAGTTATACTTCTATATAACTGACTGAAATAACTACTGATAACAGATACATGGTCGATTTCTTCTCACTGATAATTCCTTCGAAGACGAAAAGTTGTTACATGAGACTTGAAAGGATATCTGACAATTCAACAAAATAATTGAATGTCACTAGATAAACAAGAAAATTAGATTCAGTCAAAGAGATGAGAACCAATAATAAAGTCAGGCTAAATTCAAATTAAATGTACTCAAATGGATTAATTAACTTTTAAATAAGAAAACAAATCAATATATCAACAGGTAGATAATCTTATTTGGAAATGAAAATGAAATGAAATGAGGTTTAACGTCCTACTGTTCTGCTCCTATACTGGGCGAATGAAGACGGGCATACGCCATACAGTGTGCTATGAGGGAAATTTTGCCCGGGCAGCGGCACTATCGCCTACTCTTATATCAAATTCCAACTGCCAAGGGATCTTTTACGTGCATTCCAATGTTTACACGGGACCTCGGTTTTTCATCTCATCCGAAGGACTAGACAGCTGACAAGGGGAAAATGAAATGAAATGGGGTTTAACGTTCTACTGTTCTGCTCCTAAACTGTGCTAATGAAGACTGGCATACGCCATACAGTGTGCTATGAGGGCAATTTTGCCCGGGCAGCGGCGCTACAGTCTACTCTTATATCGAATTCCAACTGCCAAGGGATCTTTTACGTGCACGCCAATGAAATGAAATGAAATGGGGTTTAACGTCCTACTGTTCTGTTTCTAAACTGGGTTAATGAAGACTGGCATACGCCATACATTGCCCGCCTGGGCTGCGGCGCTACGGCCTACTCTTTATCGAATTCCAACGGCCAAAGGATCTTTTACCTGCACGCCAATGTGTACACAGGACCTCGATTTTTCATCCCATCCGAACGACTAGACAGCTGTCCTTGTCAGGCCCTCCGTCCTGCATCACTGACAAGGGGAAACCACGCCGGAAAATCTAATTTGGATACAATTACATTAAAGAAAAGTCCATTAAATTATTGTAGTGAATATTATTATAGATTACCTTGGCGTCATCACTAGTTGGAGATTTTGCAGATTTTGGTGGTTGAGTCTCCAAATGAATTCTCTCATTTTCAAGATGGAAGGTCTGTAAAGAAACAAACCAATTCATTAAGAAGTCGTCCAACTCAAATGTCATAATATTAAAATATCAGTTGTTTCAGCTACATAAATACAATAAAGAATTGACAATGCCACTTCTACAGTTTTTTCAGTTATACCTTTTCACTTAAATTTGTTATGGACACCCCGTTCACTTATCTACCACGTTTATTTATTAGACAAACAGTTTAATTTCCCCGAGATGTGTGTATAAATCAACATCCTGTTAATGGTGACATGACACAACACCTACTTAATGACTACCATCTTAACTGACTAGCACTGGTAAGATGATACTGTAGACTAATGAAGCTAGGCCTTTTAGTAATGACCATCTCTGTCATTAAATCATGGTCAGTATTCTAAACTAATGTTTAGTACGATATGTTGTTCTTCTTAGTGTTTAACGTGCGGTTCCACCGAAGGTGATATCGTAGACAAGTCTTATTTTTATTTTTATGATCTTAGCGCACGCACAGGGGTCTTTCCTGTGGGAGGAAACCGGAGTACCTGGAGTAAACCCACGAGGTTGAGAAGGCGCCCCTATCTTAGTATGATAGAAAGTTGTTAGATATTATACAGTCATTAATTAGCAGATCTGTAACTAGCTGTAAAAGATGTCACTACTGGTGTAAAAGTGTGACTAATTATAACACCCATCACTATCGAATACACAAACCTGGACAATAGTGGTGTATATCATTCAATAGTCACAGTTTTAACACGTTAGTGACAAAACACCTACTTAATGACTACTGCCTGATTACTAACAATTTAATGAACTAATACACATTATGTATATAAACTGACGACTTTGATCTATTAGTGTTGTTAATTTTCATTTATAACAGTTATTTGTTGCTTAGTCCAAAATATCAACGTTACAGTGCAGTAAACATTATGCATTTAAAATGACCACTTGAACCATTTGTGACAGATATCTTCATTGGTAGAAGTCATTTACTCAAAGGTGACAAAAAGAGAGAGAAAGAAATGGGGTTTAACGTCCACTCAACACAAAAGAGGTTATTTCAGGACTAACATATGGTTTTATTTTATTTCAATAATTCTCTTACACGTTGGGGTCTTTAGCAGTGGGAGGAAACCGGAGGACCCGTAGAAAACCCACAAGGTTGGACAGGTGACCCTACTCCTTGTCATGTACAACCGGGGAATCGAAACCACACCAGTTGACTCAATGACAGACTTTATGATACAGCGCGCATACGCTAACCATTTAGCCATCCAAACCCCTCAAAGGTGACCACTATCAACTTTACAGTGACGGTTAATCAAATATTATAAAGAATAATCTTTAATATGAGATGTTTTTTTTATTCACCTTTTTCTCTTTAATGGCTTTGTTAAGACGTTTTTCTTGTTCTAATCTGTCTTTAGTCCTGTTGAGACATTCTCGGAGATAAATGGTTTCCTCGGATCGTCCTTGTACATCATTCTGAAAATATCATCAAAACTTATTATGCAAAAGCAGGCTTCATGATAGATTGGAAGACAACAGCTTTGTCATCTAAGCTGTTATTGAAAATTGTCAAGAGTTTCAAAGTTTTTATGAAACAAGAGAATTCTTGTCAGGATTCTTCTCTAATAAAATGAAATATCACTGATTTTAAAGATGCAGTTTGTAAGAGCTAAATCTACCTATTGTATGTCTTTTTGTTGGCTTCAAATGTCATACAAATTATTAATAAGGTATTTATTCATATGACATGAAAAGCCGATAATGAACTCTCTAGAGCATCAGGTTACTCTTGCAATTTTATAATTTAATGTTAAAATGAATAATGAAGACTTTGTTTTGCGGAATTGGTCAGTGGGGATTGGTCAAACGATTGGGGATTGGTCAAGGGGATTGGTCAAACATTGGGGATTGGTTAACATTGGGATTGGTCAACATTGGGATTGATCAAACATTGGGACTGGTCAAACATTGGGGATTGGTCAAACATTGGGATTGGTTAACATTGGGATTGATCAAACATTGGGACTGGTCAAACATTGGGGATTGATCAAACAATGGGATTGGTCAAACATTGGGATTGGTTAATATTGGGATTGATCAAACATTAGGATTGGTCACACATTGGGATTGGTTAACATTGGGATTGGTCAAGCATTGGGGATTGGTCAAGCATTGGGGATTGATCAACATTGGGATTGGTTAAAGGATTGGGGATATCCATTATCTACTGGTAATTAATTAATTGGTAAAAAAATATGTTACATTTTCTATCATTTGAACCACTGGATGAACAAGCCTATAAGATGTCTACTTGTATGCTCATATTAATCTTTTATAATTAACAGCATAAAACTTATCCTTATAACACTCTAATGCACCCAATAAGAAAAATAATATAGATTGAATAAAAATACTTACTACTAAAGCTTCTAACTGGGCTGATTTCTGTTCAGATACTTCCTTTAACTGTCTGTAAAAGATAATTAATGATACAGAAGCTATACATGGGAAACACCTGGTGCTTAAACAGTAATATTATACACATAGAACCACAGATATCAACCATCAATAGGCTGATTAGTGGTATTATTACTGACCAATAGGCTGATTAGTGATATTATTACTGATCAATTCCTTGTATCTTTGTAAATTCTGAATAGAACAGAATCATTTTTGGACCAATATACTTTTTAGAGACTCAGGACAATTCTGTGACACAGGTATCTGTAACACGGAAAATCCCTTTCAAAATTAATATTAAGCTGATGTTGAGTATTATGTCTAAAGTGAATGACATAGATGTACTTAAATTGGGGAGCATTTTTACCAATCAAGAAAAAAAAACCCTGAAAATTATCTTTGATTTTGATAAAGACAATTTTACTCTCACTTACTTTAATTTTTCTAAATCTTTCTCATAATTGACAAGCATGCCTTCTTTTCTGGCCAGTACTTCTTTCAGAACTCTTATCTTCTTGACCAACAAGTCACACGTTCTTTCTCGTTGTGCCAATAATCTGGTACGATCATCTCGAGGTAGATGTGCCATTGGTCGAAGCCCTTCCACATCTCCCGCTTCCAATGTACCAGCGACACTTTTTAATAAATTAAAATACTGGGAAAAAAAGTAACAGGAATCAGTCAAATGCATAACAAAAATACAACTTTGCCAGGCAAGACAATGTATGACAACCACCAGCTTTAGAGAGAGAGAGAGAGAGAGAGAGAGAGAGATGGGATGTAACCTCTACTCGACATAAACCAGGCCATTTCAGAACTAACACATGGTTCAATTTTATTTCAATAATTTGCTTGCGTGTAGGGGTCTTTAGCATGGAGAGGAAACCAGAGGACCCGCAGAAAACCCACGAGGTTGGACAGGCGACCCAACTCTTTGTCATGTACAACTGGGGAATTGAAACCACGCCAGTTGACTCACAGACCTTATGATACAACGCGCACACACGCTAACCATTCGGCCATCCAACCCCCCAGTTTTTAAGAACTAGCACTACCAAATGATCCGTTGAACAATGGGCATATTTATGTAGTACTAAATCGAAATGTATAGAAAAATAGGCTGAATCCTCTCCTCTTAGCGTACAAATCTTCTTCAAAAACTGAAGTATGTAGAGAATTCACAAATTGCATGTTTCATATATATTTGGTGCGCTTTAGGTCATATGGTCTGTCATTGAGTCAAGTGGCATGGCTTTGAATCTCAGCTTGTATGTGACAAGGAGTAGGGTTACCTGCCCAACTTCTTGGGTATTCTCCAGTTTCCTCCAACAGCTAAAGACCCCTACGCACATTGAATTATTGGTAGTCCCAAAATGACCTCATTTGTGTTGAGTGGACGTTAAACCCAAATTATCTCTCTCTACCTCTCATATATATATATAAGAAACAGATACTCACTGATTGTTCACTACTGTCCAGTGAACTCTGTGTTTCTACATGAGCTGTTCTTTCTATATCGGCTTCAACTGTACCCTTCGCTATCATACCTTTAGCTTTGTTGATTTCACGATCTAAAATACTACGATTATTCAATACATTATCTTCGTTTAAAGCTTGATTAGCTTTCATCTCCGCTAATTCTTTCTTTAATATGACAACTTGTTGTAGAGCTTGATCATGTGTAGGTACTAAAAATAAAATAAAGATCAATCAGCTTTAAATCTTTCAAAGGACATCTTCTTGTCGATACTTGACATTTTTAAATGTTCTTCCAATTTATTAAAATCGCTGATCTCAATCGTACAATTTTCAGGGAGTTAATCATAGGCCTGGATTATCAAGACTACTTATATATGTTATCATAATTCAGAAAATGGTGAGTGTGGCAAGTCCAACAAAGGTTTTATTGACTTTGTAATGCTAGGACCCGGACAAAACCCAGGCGGTTAGTAATGGCAGAAGAAAAATATGACTAATATGCTATTTTTGCTGAACCACCCCACAAACATAGTTACGATTGGCTCTGTGGTAAATCCCAATATGTCACAAAGTTCTTTTACATTAAATTAAGTAAACTTACATGGTGGTCTGGTGTGTTCTAACATTTTAAGTCGACCTCGCAGTTCAGCTAGCGCTTCTCTCTGTCTCATTATTACAGCCTCGTGTCTCTCGCCACGACACTGAGCACCAAGGGCTGACAACTCTGTAGTAATTTTACCCTGTGGAACAAACAATTAATTAGTCCCACGTGCAATATGACAAACAATATTAACAAGCTTTACAAATTTATTAATTTTCAAACCTGAAATAGGCAAGAAACAAAGTATCCAGATTTCTTTGTCTTATACCACAATACACTAACATTCCTGTCCTGTCAAGGACAGCTGTCTAGTAGTTTGGAAGGGATGAAAAACCAAGGTCCTGTGTACATCTTGGCGTGCACGTAGAAGACCCCTTGGCAGTTGGAATTCAAGATAAGAGTAGGCCGCAGAGCCGCTGTCTGGATAAAATTTCCCTCATAGCACACTGTATGGCATATGCCAATCTTCATTAGCCCAGTAGGAGTAGAACAGTAGGACGTTAAACCCCATTTCATTTTATTTCATTTCATTTTAGTTAGTGTGGATCCTATTTCTCCTGAATATTTTAAACCACTACATGTATGTTTAATATATTTCTAACCAATCGCAACCAGTAAATCCCCGGTTCCATCTCAGTGCTAGCCGAGAAAGATGCAGTTCTGGCAAGGAGAGAGAGAGAGAGAGAGAGAGAAATGGGGTTTAACGTCCACTCGACACAAACTAGGTCATTTCGGGACTAACATATGGTTTAATTTCTATTCCAATAATTCGCTTGCGTGTAGGGGTCTTTAGCAGTGGGGGGAAACCGGAGGACCCGGAGAAAACCCACGAGGTTGGACAGGCCACCCTACTCCTTGTCACATACAACCGGGGAATCGAAACCCCGCCAGTTGACTCAATGACAGACAGTATGATACAGCGTGCGTGCTAACCATTCGGCCATCCAAAACCCTCTTTTGGCAAGGAAAAACAGGTAGTTGTTGGATAGGACAAAAAACTCAACAAAGCCCTTCCACTGACAACATGTTAAAGATGCAATGAAAGTTGGAAATCAAAATAAGAGCAGGTTGTGACGCCACTGCAGCTGTCTGGGCAAGATTTCCTTCAAATCGCAATGTATTGCAGATGCCCATTTTCATTAGCTCGGTTGCTGCAGAAAAATTATACATTAAACCCAATTTTTAAATTTACCTCATGGTCTAAAAGATCTAACTGTTTTTTCTGTTCTTCTCGTTCGTCTACGAGACGGGCTTCGTATTCTTTAATCATATTCTTCTTATCATCCATACCATCTTTATACTGACGTACTAAATCTTTCTCTCGTCTATAAAACAAATAATTCACATGAAAGACAGAGAGAGAAATGGGGTTTACATCCACTTGACACAGACTAGGTCATTTCGGGATTAACATATGGTTTTAATTTTATTTCAACAATTCGCTTGCGCATAGGGGTCTTTAGCAGTGGGAGGAAACCGGAGGACCCGGAGGAAACCCACAAGGCTAAACAGGCAACCCTACTACTTGTCACATACAACCTGTTGATTCGAAACCACGTGTTGAAGGCAGTTATCTTTTACAGAGATATTAGAAGACTTTTGAATACTCTGTGAAACAGATTGGATCTAATCATCAAGTCTGGAAATAAAGCATGTCACAAACATTTTCAGACACAAATTCCTGGGGTTTTAATGATATCTTTAATACCGGTACATGTCTGGCACAAAGTTTAAAATGTCACACACTAGTTCAATCTGTTTCACAGAGGATTACGAAAGTCTTCTAATATCTCTGTAAAAGATGATTGCCTTTAATATGTGATGTCACATCACGCAGCATCAATCATTGGTTCAATGGTACGTGCATTGTTTACATAAGACGTTACTGGTTCGGGCAGAATGGTGCCTTTAACTCATTTTAATACCTATTTACGCTAAAATAGGAAATAATTTTTACATACAAATACTTCAAACGTCTTTATTTTTCTAATATATCAACAAAATGTTTTAGAATTTAATTCGTCAGAGGAAAAAAGTTAATATTTGGGGCACATTATATAATTAAGTTGCATTGATGTCATCCTTGTCAGTGATTGTAGCGGGCTAGCGAATATTCACTGCTGATCAGTGTGACACTAGTTCAGATAGCGGCTGCAATTTCGTCAGGCACAACTAAAATCAATATATACAGTCCTGTTAACCCTGTGCATGTAGATGGTATATATATCATGTATTACATTAAATGTCACTGAATAAGTACACACTTTTATAAGCTCACACTATATCTTTCATTATGACAAAATTTGTGGCTTCACAAAACAGAAACTTGTTCAAGTAGCAAATTGTTATTAATGCATAAAACCAAGTATGTCCATTCTTTACATGGCGTTAAAACATACTATAATATGGTCATCTACTGAATCCAACAAAACTCTATTTTTTTAATAGAGACAACCAAAATATTGTTTGTTTACAATTAGTAACCTTATAGAAGGCTAAGAACTAAACTATGGGCCTTAATTAAGAATATTGAAAGTACCCCTACCTAAACTGTTAAAATTTCTAATAAAATACCAACTTACAATAGGTTGGGCCTTATTTAAGAATATTGCAAGCACCGGGAATTAAATTGCTAAAATTTCTAATAAAATTCCAACTTTCAACAGAGATGTTGGGCTTATTTAAGAATATTGCAAGAACCGTTGATTAAACTGTAATTCTTTCTAATAAAATTCTGACTTACAACAGAGATGTTGGGCCTTATTTAAGAATACTGAAAGATTCAGAGATTAAACTGTTAAAATTTCTAAAAAAAATTCCAACTTACAAGAGAGATTTTTCTAGCGTTTTAATTTCTTCTTTCTGTTTGTCGACTATTTTAGATAATTTGGCCATCTGTTGACGAGCTTCATTCAAATCTTTTCCCTTTCTCTCCAATAATTCTCGATTCTGTTCCATTTCTTGTTTTTGGTTTTCAGAAAGTTCGCCAGTTATGTCCGAGAGACGAGCAGAAGCACCAGTCAAATCTCGACGTAAACCTGTAATAACATCTTGTTGTGCCGACAACTGCTTCTTCAGTTCCGAATTATCCAGCCTGAAAATTGAGGCATTCACAATAATTTCAAAATTCTGGGTTATAAAAAGTTTCGGGATGCCCGCTAAGAAAGAGAGAGAGAGAAATGGACTTTAACGTCTACTCAACACAAAATTGGTCATTTTAGGACTACCATGTGGTACACTTTTTATTTCAATACTTTGTTTGCCCAGAGGTCTAAAGTGGTAGATGGAAATCTGAGGACCCAGAGAGAGAGAGTTATTTCAGAACTAACATATGTCTTTATTTCAATAATTCACTTTTTTTACACGCAATCCACACAACAGGACAATGTTCCTTGCCAGCAGCTTCCAGTCAGTTACATACTTGACTAACTCTTAGGCTGAGCACCAACGTATATTTTTACAGCACATGTGACATGTGTCGAGTAAAGTAAATCATTTTACTCGTACCTGAGAACAGAAATCAAATGTTCAAGGGCAGCTAACTCTTCAGTATTTCTCTGTATAACAACCTTGGGTTTCGGTGGTATAGTAGGTCTCTGAGCTTTAGTCAATTCTGTTTGTAAATCTAAAATAAAAGTAGAAAAGTTGTCACATTATGGTAGAGAGAGAGAGAGAGAAATAGGGTTTAACATCCACTCGACACAAACTAGGTCATTTCGGGACTAACATATGGCTCAATTTTATTTCAATCAATCGCTTGCGCGTAGGGGTCTTTAGCAGTGGGAGGAAACCGGAGGACCCGGAGAAAACCCACAAGGTTGGACACATTATGGTAGAGATAACTCTGTTCATAAAATGAAAGTTACATATATTTTTATGTGACAGCATTATCTGAGAACCATAATTTTTATTTAAGTGGCCTAAAATGAAAGATGAATACATTTTATAGTAAATACGTTCATCAGCTACTTACAAGTCTATCAAAAAATTGCAATGTAGTAATTTTATTTGGTTGTAAAAAAAAAATATCAGGGAACCATTTCATTAGAATTTTACATTTTCACCACAAAGCTTTGAATGACAACTTAAATTTAATACGCTTGACCATAATATTTGATAAAATAAATCATGCAACCAATAAAGGTTCCATTTAACTTCTTGTTCTGCAGTAATAATAAAACACAATTTATATGGAAAACAATCACAGTAAACAATACAATATTTTGTACCTTGCATTTTACAGTTTAATGTCTTGATTTCATCCTGATAATCCGCATTAGATTTACTGACTTTACTTAGTCGTTCTTCCATAGCACAGATCGTCACCGCATGCTGGCTCACTTGTTCTCTATGAGCTACTAAATTATCTTGATGAAGCTGTTCCTGAGCTTCCATTTCTTTACGGATGGCCGCAATCTCATCTATTTTCTGTTGGTCCATTTTGATCAGATCAGCTCGTAGTTGGGCCTCTGAATCTTTAAGTTTATCATATTGGTCAATGGCTGTTGAGGCTTGTTCTAGTTTCGAGGCACCTTCTTCTTGCTGTTTAGAGTAAGACTGAAATTTATGTAAAAAAAACATTTGAATACGAGCTTGGTTTAAAAAAAAAAAAAATATGAAAGAATGGTATCTTTAATAGATGATCATTTAAACTTGCTATAAGAGTTCAAAAATAGATCATGCAAAATGAATATATTAAAAATATCAAATTACTTTATTTTGCACAAAGTGATGAGTGTTTGAAGTTTTGTCAAAATGTATCGTAGATTGTTAATTATCGTAGCAATAGTACTTGACAATTTTGACTGAGTCTTGATTATCTATTGTATCATTAAACTTTTAAACATTTTTTTTAATCTACTTAAAATCAGAGCTATCCAATGGCTCAGAGAGTTGTTTATGGGCTTGTCATATTAATAAATGTTTAAATAATAATTTATAAAACTGAATTCTGAATTGAAATCCCTGGACTAAACCGTTCTAATATAATGGTGGTTTAAAATGATACCTCTCTTAACTGTTCCAACGAGGCTTCAAGTTCTTCTATTTTTTTTCGTTCTGATATTTCAACATTTTCTCGTTTTTCGGCTTCAACTGCTCGGATTTCATCAATAGCTACATTTAATTTTTCTTCACCTAAAACATATAAAAAATAAACATTATAAAATATACAGAATATAAAAGAATCAAAGCATTTTGAAAGTTATGACTGTCAACTGATTTGGGGTGTTAATATGTTTTAGGTCAAAAGGCTTGTCATTGAGTCAAGAAGCTTGTGACTGAAATGACAAGGACTAAAGTTGTGGGTTTTCTCACGGTCCTTCAGTTTCCTTCGACGACAGAGAATTATTGAAATAAAATTTTACTATATGTTAGTCCCAAATTGACAGTTTGTGTCAAGTAGACGTTAACCCAGTTACTCTTTTTTCTCGTTCGTAAAATTCATAAAAAATCAACACAAACAAGGTCATTTCAGGACTAACATGATACAATTTTGTTTCAATAATTCGCTTAAGGGTAGAGGTCTTTAAAATTTATAAAAACATACCTTCTAATCTGGCTTTTTCTACTGCGTCTGTTAGTTTGTCATTTAATTCTTTTGTTAAAGCATCAAGTTTCTGTTGTAATTCTTCTTTGTAGATATTTTCAGCATCTGTAACTTGTGCTTGTAATCTGTCTTTATCTTCTATAGTTGATTTCAGTTTATCATTTAACTGAAGTATATGTTTATCTGGACCTGAAACATTAACAGGTTGTTTAAACACTTGGGTTAAACTGGTTTAAAATATACTGGCGATGTATCAACCAGCTTAACTTTGTCGTTCAAAAATACAAGTCTGGAAAATAAACCAGTTTAAAAAGAAAACTTTTCTTAAAAGGTAGCTTATCTTAGCTGCCTTAGCTCCAGCTAGATTTGGGCATGTACAGAAAGTTATCTTCCAGGCAAAATGACATGTGCCCATGCGTAATTAACTCTAACAGTGAATCAAATTGCATGGTTCCGATCAGTTTTGAGAAACTTGTAATTGTGGAGAAAAAAAATTGGAATGGAAGGATGGAACCAAATTCAATATCCGTCATTTAATTTTATTTAGCGCAGGATATTTAAGTGAAAACACAATGGCATGACCCATTGGGGTTAAACAAATTGTTTCAATGGCATTTAGTAATTGAACTGGGATATACAGGTCACACTTCTATGGAATACAATTACTGCTTGTTACTTAGCCCACGTTTCTTCTAGGCTTCTCTAGTCATTATCAAGCAAACGACAAGTCCTACCTTCATTTGATAATTTGACGTTAAAGCCACTGGTCTCTAAGGCACATTCAATACTGTGTTCCCATGACGATGTGACTCCTAGAACCTCGGCCATGATATCTCTCATCCAAGTAAACGTATCATCAGTAGTTAAAGATTTAACAATTTCTATTTCTTGATCAACATATTCACATTTTAAACCTCTCTCACTTAATCGTAGCTACAAAAATAAATATGGAGAAAATATTACGAAATAAATAAAAGCGGTTTAACCCGTTAAGAGTGGCGTTTTTAAAACGTTAACTACTCCCTATTGTGTAATTAATTTGACGAAGTGACGAAGAACTGTGTACTATGTTCTAAGAATAGGTTGGGGAAAATACCTCCAAGGCGTAATATTACGCCCTACACACAGGGAGTGGCAGTTGTCCAGGACATAATATAACATCCTACACATGCTGCGATCGTGGAGGAATTCCCACAGTGAGTGGCAGTTGTCCAGGACGTTATATAACGACCTACGCACTTGTTAACAAACTTGAGGACAAGACACAAACTACACAGACATTGTAAGCAATAAACAACAAATATCGAAACAAGTGCATGGATAAAAACAATTCACAATAAAAAGGATGGTAATCAGGGTAGAATTTCGGAAAACACTCAAAATTAATGAATAAGGTGTACATATTTAGCAAACAGAGAGAGAGAGAAATGGGGTTTAACGTCCACTCGACACAAACTAGGTCATTTCGGGACTAACATATGGTTTAATTTTATTTCAATAATTCGCTTGCGCATAGGGGTCTTTAGCAGTGGGAGGAAACCGGAGGACCCGGAGAAAACCAATGAGGTTGGGCAGGCGACCCTACTCCTTGTCACGTACAACTGGGGATTCGAAACCACGCCAGTTGACTCAATGACAGGCTTTATGATGCAGCGCGCACATGATTTAGCAAACAGGAGCAAAAGCAAACAAGAATATTCATCAGTATGACGGACAAAAACTTCTCACTAATAGCATGAGTAGAGAGACTTAAGGATATATTATGGAAGATTAGATAAAGAGCTGGCAGTTCTCCCTATAATAGTTAACAACTAGATAATGTAAAGGGAATATGCTGAAAAGTTCAACCGAGAAAAACCTTATTTTAAAATCACTGTAGCCTTGATTGTCATTGTTACTGCTGTCATGATAATTAACAAAGTCTCGATTATCCATTTTTGCGATTAATCATCAATAAGCGTTGAAAAGCAGATCGGATTCAAATCCAATGAAAATCGAACACATAGAATGGAATCGAGAGTTGATTATGGTCATTTCATGTTAATAAATGTCTAATTAATAATTTATATAACATTTCAGGCCTAAAGAAAGACCTGCAATAGGCAGATTTAGCTCTCCCATAATTTATGTTTAAGCATGTGTACTTACCACACTCGCTTGCATTAATTCTTTAAGTTGATCACAGTTTGTCTTCATCTCATTATTTTGAGTTTTCACTTCTTCCATGTCAGTTTCAAGTTTAGTTATGTGGTTCTTTAATTTACCTCGTTCTTCAATCAGCTGTTTCAAAGTGTCAATCAAATCGTCGTCTGTCAGTTCTGTTTCAGGGGCAGGTAATCCTGATGAACCATAAGCAACTTGAATAATTCGATTTCTAAATCGCTCCAACTGTAAAAAGAGCGACCAAAAGAGATAACAACAAGAAAAACCACTCACATCCAATAAAATTAGTTCCAATGGCTTGAACGGCAACAGGGCTAATGAAAACGTCCAAGGAAATTTGAAATGACAGGGGCGCAAGGCCTTTTTTTTCAGTTCGAACAGTCAGCGGATCTTTCACATGCTGCCCATGGTATACATGTACTCTCGGTTTTGGTCCCAACCAAATGACTAGACGTTTTATCTTGCCAGCCCCCATTCCGAAAATTAAATAGGGAGAGAGAGAGAAATGGGGTTTAACGTCCACTATACACAAACTTGGTCATTTCGGAACTAACATATGGTTCAATTTTATTTCAATAATTTGCTTGTGCATAGGGGTCTTTAGCAGTGGGAGAAAAACTGAGGACCTGGAGAAAACCCACCAGGTTGGACAGACGACCCTACACCTTGTCACGTACAAGCGGGGAATCAAAACCACGCCACTTGACACAATGACAGCCAGTAAATCAAATAGTCCTGTATGCCTATGATCTGTGTGTTTTATTCATATTCCTGATTCCCTAAGCATCTTTTTGTCTTGAAAAAATAGATCGAAAGTAGATGCATTTCGTCTCCAGTAAAATCACAGCAGCTCACACACAGTTACACTATAATTTAAATGAAATGAAATGGGGTTTAACGTCCTACTGTTCTGCTCCTATACTAGGCTAATGAAGACGGGCATACGCCTTACAGTGTGCTATGAGGGAAATTTTGCCCGGGCAGCGGCACTATCGCCTACTCTTATATCGAATTCTAATGTATACACGGAACCTCAGTTTTTTCGTATCATCCGAAGGACTAGACAGCTGTCCTTGACAGGCCCTCCGTTCTGCACCACTGACAAGGGGAAACCACATCGGAAAATCAGGATGAAGTTTCTCGGCCAGTGCAGGGATCGAACACCCGACCTCCAGGCTAGCAAGCCAGCGTCTTAACCACCTAGCCACCGTGGCACCCCTATAATTTAAAGCATTATTATGTATTTAGATATGCTATCTCATATGTCATAATCTCATATTGTCCTGCAACCATCTCAAGATGTCGAGGATTTTGAAATAACTCACCCTTTTTGTTGCCTGCTCTAGATCAACTCTTACTACACGTTCAGTTCTCTGCATGTCAAGGAACTGAGACTTTGATGTATCAAGTTCAGCTTGAAGCTTACGATTAATGTCTCTTTCTTCGAACACGGATTGCTTAGATTTATCCAGTTCACCCCGGACTGAGGTCACTAAGTCTTGCAACTCTGTTACTTTATTCTCAGCTGTTTTAAATTTCTAATAAATAAAATACAGGTTATAAGCAACTTAGAAGTCTAATGATGGAGAGGATCTAAGTTTTTCAGGTAGCAAGTTCCACAAATTGGCAACTCCACCATAGGAGCTGAGTTTCTATTTTGGGACAAGGTTGTTCTTAGTACTTGATCATAGATTCTTTGATAGCATGCAAGGTACCACAAGTTCTCTCATATAAGATGGCACTACACAGTACACACATTGACATATAAGAGACATCAATTTGAAGTCAATTTGTGTCTGAACTAGAAGTCAGAAATGAAATGAAATGAAATGGGGTTAAACATAATACTGTTCTGCTACAACCGGGCTAATGAAGACAGGGAACTAGAAGTCTGTGAAGTGACCTAAGTACATGGGTGATTCTGTCTCTCAAAGGATCCTTGCTGCTTTACTTTGTACATGCTGTAGTTTATAGCTGAAAACTTTCAGAAATGTCTTAAAAACAATGTAATTTAATGTCATCTTGTACATACCTGTCTCAAACTCATGAGTTCTCGATCTCTAGCATTATTAGCTTCTGCTGTTTGTTTACTGTCAGCTAGAGCAGACGCAGCATAATTCTCTTTTAGTTTAGTTATCTAAAACAATCATTTCATGCTTAATTTATTTTTATAGAGTTATTATTACAAAATAAAGATAGAGAAATGGGGTTGATGTCCACTTGACACGAAGTAGGTCATTTTAGGACTAATATATGGTACAATTATATTTTAATAAATCACTGAGGCCCAGAGAAAACACACCAAGTTTTGGAAGCTTGGGATTGAAATGATGCCACTTGACTCAATGACAGTTCTTATGATCTAAACCACTCAACCGTCTGCTCTCTTATGGTATATCTGATATCACAATCTGATTAAAATACAGATCTATATTCTGTTTCGTTTTTTTATACTTTCGATGGCCTACACTACATGAAGATCTAACCGGTTGTTGTGATAGGTCGTGTTAGAGGTCATACGAGCGGAAAATGAGCCTATGAAGTCAGATATTTGATTAACCAATCAGCATTAATGTTACTAGTGGATTACCCACAGTTCCGTGCAAAACATGCCTAAAGCTCGCCGTAACAGACCGTTTCATTGGCAAATCCCTCACACAATTCAGAACACGTCAATGATAACAACTCTTCCAGATCCTAGTGTAGTAAAGACAAGTAAAACGAGGAATTCTGAACTATAAAAACGAAACAAAATAGGATCTGTGTTTTAATCAGATTGTCTGATATCACATTCAATAATATTGAGTATATTCTACAGTGACTATATGGTAAGATTTTAACATTTGTTTCTTATATTTTAAGTCAATTACTGGTAAACACCAATCCATCGGAGATCATTAAATATACATATGTATTATATATCTAAATAATCATTAAATATTTATTATACAAATTATAGGTGTCTGTATTTGTCTATTCAACTCTCCTGAGTTAAAGGCTCAATACCACTCTTGTTGTAACTGAATAATATGTCCCAATCTTTATTCTGGTCAACAAATTGTACTATTTTACAATATTCCAATTAATTGATGATACAAATTTCATCTTAACACACCTAATTTAAAAAATTGGAAAAATTCAACTAAATGATTTGAAAAGCCTGACGTAAAGCTTTTCAAATGTGACTTGGATTTAAAAATATTTTTGAACCCTTTGGTGGGAAAAGTAAAATAGGATTTAATGGATAATTTACACAACAGGTAGGACACGAACACATCTAGTACTTAGAATAAGGCTATCTTTTATTTTCTGGAGCTGTCAAGCCAGCAAGAGTGTTATTGTCCCTTTAAGCTTTGTGCTCCTCAGACTGAGAATGTTGGGTAACCCTGGTTTAAGCCATAGTTTAGTAACACTGACAGTCCAGAGCAGTATTAAAAATATTAACATTAGATGAAAAAAGTGCAATTAAGTCAAACACCGTGAAGTTAATAACAACAAACCTTATTATTAGCTGCTGTTAGTTGGATATCTCGTTCGCGTAGTTCTTTTTTCACCATTTCTAATTCTCGACTTAACTTACTTAAAGACGAATCCTGCAAAGTTCAGATAACATACAAAATACAAGAAAAATATGTGCTATATACAGTGTATTAAAAGCTACTGACCGTCATTTGCATTTTTCCGAAAGTAGCTTAATTTTTTTTTACAGTTTAATCCACCCTAAAATGTACTCACATTAATTATATTACATTTAAGAGAGAGAGAGAGAGAGAGAGAGAGAGAGAGGGTGTCACTGTCCACTCAACACAAACTAGGTCATTTCTAGACTAACATATGGTTCAATTTTATTTCAATAATTAGCTTATGCGCAAGGGTCTTTAGCAAAGGGAGGAAACCAGAGGACCCGACACAAACTAGGTCATTTTGAGACTAACGTATGGTTCAATTTTATTTCAATAATTCGCTTGTGAGTAGTGGTCTATAGCAGTGGGAGGAAACCGGAGGACCCAAGAAAACTCACGAGGTTGGACAGGCGACCCTACTCCTTGTCACGTACAACTGGGGAATCGAAACCAGTTGACTCATTGACAGACCTTATGATACAGTGCACACATACTAACCATTCAGCCTTCCAACTCCCCAATTTACACGTAATAAAAAAAACAAACCAAAATATCCTAGCTTGGATTCAATCAGAATTGAAACAGTCTCACCAAAAGAATTTACCAAACACTTATTATAGCTGGGGCTGGCTTGTTCATGTCATCTGAACGGGATACCAAATTTTCAATTTATCATATCTTTGTAAATACTAATGGGGAAATGAACTGTTTTTGAACAGATATTCATTTTGGAAATTTAGTTTTACAATACCGTAGTCTGCAAGGGATTTAAAATACTTCAAATGACAGTCAGCAGTTTGAACAGAACATAGTATTAGGACGATATGAAATATAGTGCACAGTTTATTAAAGTTATACACAGAAATAGTTTACATGTCAAGAACCTGAGCCCATTTCACGAAACCTACATAAACTTACTCAAACAGTAGTTCAATATAGTTGTACAGTAAAATGTTCAATAAACAGAGCACAATTTATATGGGAAAACAATCACTGGTTTATTATATACAGATATATATAAGCACGACTTTTCTATAAGTATCAAGCACAATAATACCAAAGTTTACCAAATGTCATTGTGCTTGATAAGGATAAAAGGACAATTATCGAAATGTGCTTACATGTATATAATAAATCAGTGTTTCCCATAAAAAATGTTTCTCAAATACTAAATGCCACTTAAAAATCATGTTCGTAAGTCATTTGTGAGCTTCGTGAAACTGGTCCTCGAGTTAGTATTCTGAGAAAGGAACAAGAAAAAAGCCCTGAGCGAGGAATCAAGATATTTCAGTTTTTGACAGGAAAATGTTCAGACTGACATGCAGAGCTCTATTTAAATTCCAATATTCCAAGATTCAAGATTACTTAGATCCCATATTCCAAGGGTCAAGATTACTTAGATCCCATATTCCAAGGGCCAAGATTACTTAGATCCCATATTCCAAGGGCCAAGATTACTTAGATCCCATATTCCAAGGGCCAAGATTACTTAGATCCCATATTCCAAGGGCCAAGATTACTTAGATCCCATATTCCAAGGGCCAAGATTACTTAGATCCCATATTCCAAGGGCCAAGATTACTTAGATAACATATTCCAAGAGTCAAGATTACTTAGATCAGAAAATTCCCAGAATCAAGATTACTTAGATCTCATATTCCAAGGGTCAACATTATTTAGATCAGAATATTCCCAGTCAAGATTACTTAGATCAGAATCTTCCAAGGGCCAAGATTACTTAGATCAGAATCTTCCAAGAGTAGAGATTACTTAGATCACATATCACAAGAGTCTAGATTACTTAGATCACATATCGCAGAGCCAAGATTACTTTGAGCATCATATTCCAAGAGTCAAGATTACCTAGATCACGTTAGCCAAATTACTTAGATCACATGTTACAAGAGTCAAGATTACTTAGATATATCACAGAGGCAAGATCACTTAGATATATCACAGTCAACATTACTTAGATCAGAATATTCTGGAAGTCAACACATTCCAAGACTTAAGATTACCTAGATGTTGCTCAAATTATTATTATTATTAAGTTTATAAAGTTCTATCATCTAGATATGCAAGAATTGATAGAATTAACATTTAATTTTATTAAAGAATTTCCATAATCTCATACAATATAGGACTTCATAACCCAAAAGGATACTACTATGTCTGTTTATGCAATATAAATGTTATATTTCATGCTAAATAATTTGCTAATGCTTTCTTTATATACAAGATACATTTGTGATATTTAAATGTGTTTGATAAAATATCATTATAATATATATATTTGTGATATTCAAACGTGTTTATATTAGACTAAACCTATATACATGTATCACACTAAGCTAATATGAGTTGAAGTGCAACAGACTGAAAGGGAGACAACCACGATCTTGTTTCTATCAAAATTCTAGTATTTTCTGAGTTATAAGTTTTGAAAATAAAATTTTGACACATGCTCTTAAACTAGATATCTGATGGCTTTGATATTCCATTTTATACTCTGTCGAATCTGATATCAATAGAAACAAGTATGAGTTTCATGTAAATCATACTTGAATTGACAGAGCTTTTAAATTTTTATCAAATAGCATTGTCACCGCCCCCTCCCAAAGAAAACAAAAGTAACAGGATGAATAGTGCTTGGGGCCCAATTCCTGGTCTAAAACGACACCTCTCGCTTTTGTAACAATTAATTTAAAAATTAATTCAGACGAATTTTAACCAAGATAATTTTTCTATGTGATCGGAAGACATAGCAAGCATAACCTACTCAGTACCTACTTTAAGAGCACTCAATAAATTTCAATCTTATAAGACATTTACTTGGACCAAGGACAGATAAGTTAATAAACTCTGAATATTCAACTCTATCTACGACTCCCTGATTTTCTTTACAGAGAGAGAAATGGGGTTTAACGTCCACTCGACACCGATTTTCTTTATAAGAAGGGCACATATATATTTTGTTATTGTCAGAATATTCATCACTATCTACTGTACATGTAGGTTATCTACATGATAACTAGATACTTCTGACTGGTGACAGAGACATTTATTCACTGAATATTTCTCCGAGGGGGTATTTTACATTACCATACTAATGCCTATACTATAATTTTGTTCTATCATAAACAGACTTTTCTAATTGGTGACAGACTTACATTCATTCAATATTTCTAAACAATACAATTGCCTATACTATAATTATGTTCTAACATACACAGACTTTTCTAACTGGTGACTGACTTGTGTTCATTGACCATTTCTCAACTACACAGGATTTTGTACGTGAAATAATATTGTTGGATTTTTTTTAAAAGAAAACAAGAATGAGGCATGCAGTGTCTTGATCTAAAACACACAAGAGATAGAGAACGGTAGTTCTAATGACTCACCCAATCGTTTTCATCGTACTAAATAATAATATCAAAAAATGTTATTTTACTATTTTAAATATTAATGAAATGAAATGGGGTTTAACGTCCTACTTTTTTTTACTCCATCCAGACTAATAAGACAGGCATACTCCATGTGAGTGTGCCATAAGGGAAATTTTGCCCGGATAGCGGCACTATGGTCTACTCTTATTCTGAATTCCAATTGTGTAGGGTTCCTTTACGTGCACACTGAAGTGTTCACAGGACCTTGGTTTTCATTCCATTCGAATGACTAGCCACTGTTTCTTATCAGGCACATCATCCTACACCTGTCTTGAATATTAACTTTACTAAAGATTCTAATGAAATTTTGAAATTCAAGAATATATCTTTAAATTAAAGTCTACACGGCAAAATACAAGTTAAAGATGCATTATGTAAGATTTAGCTTTCACTATAATAGTTAAAAATTAGATAATGAAAAGGGAATACATTGTATCTTAAAAATTTCAGTAAAATTACTTCATTCTGAGCAATGTTAGGGCTGTTTGGAAAATAGCAGAGTCTCGTCTGTCATTGCTACCGTTGTTACGATAGTAAACAAAGTCTCAGATTTTAATTACACCATTAACCGCAAATTGTGTTTAAATCCGTTGAAAATCTAGAGCATCCGATGGCATTGAGAGTTGATTATGTTCTTGGCAAGTTAACAAATGTCTAATAATTTATATAACATCTAAGGCCTAAAGAAAGATCTGCAATAGGAAGATTTAGCTCTTGCATAATGCATCTTCAACAAATTTGTTATTTACATGTACTACAAAGATAAGCTTTTAAAAACTAAAAATGATGGTGTCGTGTATCTTCAGGCAGATTGGAGAGGTCATTTCCATATAGGGAAGTTCATCCAGATTTTCCGGCGTGGTTCCCCCTTGACGGAGGGCCTGACAAGGACAGTTGTCTAGTCCTTCGGATGAGACAAAAAACCGAGGTCCCGTGTATACATTGGAATGCACGTAAAAGATCCCTTGGCAGTTGGAATTCGATATAAGAGTAAGCGATAGTGCCGCTGCCCTGGCAAAATTTCCCTCATAGCACACTGTATGGCGTATGCCCGTCTTCATTAGCCCAGCATAGGAGCAGAACAGTAGGACGTTAAACCCCATTTCATTTCATTTCAATTTCCATATAGGGAATTCTTAGTTAGAGAGACAGACAAGATCGCCCACCCTGACCTAATTGGTGTCTAACTTGACCTCCCCAACCCACACTAAAATAGACACCCCCAAATATGTTATAGTGAAATAACCTCTTTGATCAGGAAAAAATATAAAAAAAGATTGATCAAATATAATGACTTGCTTTCTACTGTTGATTTTTGTTCCAAACACGTCTTTTGTTTAATTTTTTTCAAATTAAGCATTTCAAGCTTTTCTACATAGCATATCATCTTCGTTTCACCTAATCAAAGAAGTTCTGTTGGTTTAAAATAGAGGAAGAAAATAAAACAGTTTGCGATTCAAATTAAAGAATTTAATAGCCCATTATTAACATAACATCTAGACTGTCAGAACCAACTGACTTGCTGAAATGGATTTGTCAACATACCTTAGAAGACATGTCTCGCTGCATCTGGGTCACTAATCCAGATGTGATATTTTTATCTTTCCGTATTCTTTCCATCTCGTTACGAGTGCTATTTAACTCTTTGACTTTATCGGCCAAATCTTGTCGAACCTTGTTGGGATTTTCGGACGATTCATACTTTAGTTTTGAAATCTAAAAAAACAACAGGTTGTGATTTGTGAAGGGGAAGCAAAAGTGATCATAAAAAGTGAGGCTGGTCAGAGTTATTCCCCCTTGCTCTGACAGCAGTGTCACATCCTTTCAATAAAAACCATAATCATGGCTACTAGTAACAAGTAATAGTTATGAATGTAACTAGTCATGATACATAACCAGATTGACATGCATTCAAATACATTCCAGTTGCAAAAAATAGATATGTTAACTTCTAACTGAAAAAACCTGTATAATAGAGTTAGCTCCCTTGTTGTGAAGCTGGTGGTGTTTATTTCGTCATGCTGCTGAACCCTGCCTGCAGCTTTATTCACAAAATCTCAAACTAAAATATTTAATGGATGTAGCCTTTTCAGATCAAATTTTTTACTACGATTTTAATTCTCAACGAATGAAAAGGATACATTCTAGTAAAATATTTTAGTAGGCCTATACATTTTCGTAAATAAAGCCACTGGGTTCAAAATCATGCATCATGCCATAACCAGACATCAAAAAATAAATTTGGTGAGCAATTTCAATGCATTATTAACAGTTCAAAATAAAAGAGGGGAAAAAATAAAACAAAATAAAATGAAAATATGGTGACGTGAACCAACCTGTTCTTTCAAGATGGCTATTTCCGTTTTTTTACTAGTGACATCATTCTCTAGTGAAGATAATTTTTGTGAGAGATCGGCTTCACCACCTACCCTGTTACTTTCATAATGAACTCTGTTAACTAATTCAGAGTTTTCTTGCTGTAGTTTTTGGACGAGCTGATCCTTGCGGAAGGAATCCATCTCGACGCCCCGTAATCGACCTATTTCTTCCGTTAGCTGTAGCAGTTTCTGTTCCTGAAGAAGGCGAATAAGAAAAAAAATAAAATGAGATTTAAAACGTATTGATTTCGAACATAATTAGGTGAGGAAATTGAACCATTTATTTAAATATCATCAGTCACTGTTATCAAAGAAAAAAACATTAACGACATTGGTGCTTTGGAGATATGCACTGGTTGTTAAAAACATAATTTTGATTGGCTGTGGATTTGACTATACAGTTACACTACAGGAGTGCAAATATGATTTTATTCACAATTTGAGACAAATCTGCTAACCATTAAACATACATTATGCAAGAGCTAAATATGTCTATTGCAGGTCTTTCTTTGGGTCTGAAATGTTATCTAAATTATTAATTAGACATTAATTAACCTATTTAGACCATAATCAACTCTAGATGGCATCACTAGCCTGGGATCTTTAGTGGATTATGAGCCGATTTACTGCATAACTTTCCTTCACCATTTAACGATTAAATGGATAATCAAGACTATGCTGTTTTTCGTACTGACTATAGTAATGATGATCGAGGCTAGGCGGAAATTTCAACCGCTTAGTTCTCGGTTCATAGTGGATCAATTTGACTGAAATTTTCAGCAAATTGCCTTTACATTATCTAGTATCTTGAATGTCCTTCAAATTTATAAAACATTTGATTTTGTTATCTACCTTATCCTGCATCATGGACATAAAATCTGGTGAATTATTCTGGTTGGTGCCATTACGAGGTGTTGTCCAGTTACCTGAAATATATGTATCAAACATTATGTGTGATGAATGGTTGTGACAGGTGCCTTATGTCCAAGTTTGCCCTTGTACATGTATCTACAGAGAGAGAGAGAGAAATGGGGTTTAATGTCCACTCAACACAAACTAGGTCATTTCGGACTAACTCATGGTTAAATTTTATTTCAATAATTTGTTTGTGCATAGGGGTCTTTAGCAGTGGGAGGAAACTGGAGGACCCGGAGAAAACCCACGAGGTTGGACAGGCGACCCTACTCCTTGTCACATACAACCGGGGAATCAAAACCACGCAAGTTGACTTAATGACGTGCTAAACATTCTGCCATCCAACTCCCCAATGTGAGTTAAAATTTGAGTGAAAAGTGAGTTGAGCAGACGAAAAAACAAATTAAACTTTTGTTTACCTGATCTTTGCGTTATGCTGGATACAACCTGACCATTAGGTGGCAGACGACCATCAAAGCTGCCTCTTCTTGCTGACCCTGCACTCAATGGTCGTGATCTTAAAGGTGGGTGTGGAATTGGGCCTGATGGGTTTTGATGAACCCACATACCTGAAGGGGGTAAGGCAGTGACTGTAGTGGTTATGTATGGTAAACCTTGGTTAGATTGTGTTTGATCGTGATTAGATGGTGAATCCCCCATTACCCGTAATGGTTGATTCCACGCTGGTCTTTGCTGTACTGGAGGATAAACAACCTAAAAGAAAAATACCAAAAATGAAATGGGGGTATAAATAAGGTCCTACTTTTCTGCACCTGCAGTGTGCTTCGAGAGAAATGTTTCCCAGACAGCAATTGAATTCAAATTTTACGTGCATTACAACTTGAACACAAGAACTAGATGTTGCTCAATGCCAGGCCCTACAGTCTGCACCATGCTGCAAAATCGTTCTCTGCCAGCACAGAGAGTAAACTCAATGTCCTTCAGAAAGCCACCGCCTTAGTCACTGAGCCATCGTTAAAATAAAAATTGTACCATGTTAGTACCGAAATGACAGTTTAATAATAATAATAACAATAAGTCTATCTATATCGCGCTAATTCTTCATATAGCCCTGCTCATGGCACTATAAAAAGCACAATCACTTTAGCAAATATTTCTCAAATAAGTTTGTGACCTTGAACCCCATTTGTCTCTCATTCATTCTCTCTCATGCTAAAATTTTATTCAACCTTTCTCTCTCTCTAGTTTGAGTCAAGTGGGCCTTAATCTCCATTTTTCTTTCACTCTCATGCTAAAAATTTAACTCTCTCTCTGGACAATCTATTTGACATTTATGAATATACATGTACCTGTATATTGCATGTCCATATATGATCTCCTGTTATTGACCTGTATATCTACATGTCTATGTTTATATTGGTTACTAATCCTAATCCAAATACATGTATTATATCTATATATATTACACTATATCTCTATATGCAATAAGTGCATTAACTGTATATGTTGAGTATATGTACATAGATACTGCATAATCATTTTTCATTCATATAAATATCTAATTCAAAGGACAACAAGTTTATACCAGTAGGAATAATGGCTGTTGAAATGAAACGAAATGGGGTTTAACGTCCTACTGTTCTGCTCCTAAACTGGGCTAATGAAGACGGGCATACGCCATACAGTGTGCTATGAGGGAAATTTTGCCTGGGCAGCGGCGCTACGGCCTACTCTTATATCGAATTCCAACTGCCAAGGGATCTTTTAAGTGCACTCCAATATGTACACGGAACCTCGGTTTTTCGTCTCATCCGAACGACTAGACAGCTGTCCGTGTCAGGCCCTCCATCCTGCATCACTGACAAGGGGGAAACCACGCCGGAAAATCTAGATGAACTTTCTCGACCAATGCAGGGATCGAACACCCAACCTCCAGGCTAGCGAGCCAGCGTCTTACCCACTTAGCCATGTGATCACCATAATGGCTGTTATTAATCAGCCTTTAATAGTTATTGCTGAATATGCAAATTAATTTAGAAATTAGAACAGTTTAAGATTTGTTATATATAGTATACCTTATTTATCTCTCTATAACATGGTTAAATGTAACCAGACATTATCTTGTTTGCTATCAAATTTAAGAAGTGGGGTTTTCAAATTAATATTTGTGAAAAAGTGGGAATTTTCAGATGCTGTAAATGGCCATGATGATATGCATGTATTGTGATTTTACATTATGGCTCACTAGCCAGTGTGGGCCTAGATTTTCCAGCGAGGGACAATGCATAGTGGTTAGGATGGGATGAAAAACTGAGGTCCAGTGTACACATAGGACTCCACTTAAAAGAACCCTTGGCAGTTAGAATTCAATACAAGAGTAGTTGGGGCATAGTGCCACTATCCAGGAAAAATTTCCTTCATAGCACACTGTATGGTGTATACGTATGCATGTCTTTATTAGCAAAGATGGAGAAAAAAAGTAGGACGTTAAAACCCATTTTATTTTGATTTTTATGTATTGATAATAATATTTCTACTTAAACTCATTGAAAGATAACGCTTCTACACAAGTAGTTACATGTATATATATATATATTCATATTAATACCCTTTTTTTTAATTTTCAACTATTTATTCACTGACAAATGAAATATAGTACCATTAAATGCAAGTCTCGAACAAAGGGGTGAAATTTCCTGGTTTCTAGGTGGTAAATTAAAAACAGAGAGAAGAGGTGAACAATATTTCCTAGGTTGCTAGGTGGTAGATCAAAAAATAGGCCCATCAATGAAGATTATACAAGTATGCCTAGGGTTCTTTTACATGCACCTCAGTTTTTTTGTCCTATCCAAAAGACAAGATACTGTGACTTGCCACAAACTCCGCCCTGCACCAATGAAGGTGAATGTTTTATCCATTGATTGAACGGTATATATTTTAATCAATCATGTAACTACGCCCTATCTGTTAATCTCTCTACTACCTTATTAATTATTCAATAATCTTATATAAAGATCAACTTTAATCTATCTTATTCTGTTCCAGAATCAAATATTTAAATCTTCAATCTTCAATCTACATGTACATTGTCAATGGGAAGACAGTCTGTGTTTGTAGGCAAAGGCTTTAACAAAATATGCACAAGAAAAGAAGATATTTATAAGATTATTTGGAAATTGAATTAAAAAAAGAAAACAATTTAATTTAAATATCAAGAGTTGATCATCTCCTGGCTTGGATTAAATTATATTAAAAAGAGGCCAATCAAAAGGTTTTACCAAACACAATGTCCTGAATATCGTCTGTGGAGCCACGGTGGCTAAGTAAGGCGTTGGGTCGCTAATCGGGAGGTCCCGAGTTCGATCTCCGCGTTGGCCAAAAAAGTTCATCAGGATTTTCCGGCATTGTTCCCTCTTGTCGGTGATGCAGGATGGAGGGCCTGGCAAGGGACAATGTATAGTCTTTTGGATGGGATGAAAAACCGAGGTCCCGTGTACACATTGGCATGCACATAAAAGATCCCTTGGCAGTTGGAATTCGATATAAGAATATTTCACTCATAGTTATAGCACACTGTATGGCATATGCCCGTCTTCATTAGCTCAAAATCTCTCAAATGATGATCAGCAATTCAATTGTTTTTAATTTCGTTTCTTTCAAAACATTTGAAGAAAAAGAAAGAATAAAAGACGATCAGCAACTTGACATGTAAATGAATCGAATGAAATGAAATGGAGTTTAACGTCCTATTGTTCTGCTCCTAAACTGGGCTAATGAACAGTGTGCTATACATGTATATTGAATTCCAACAGCCAAGGGATCTTTTACATGCATGCCAATGCATACATGGGTCCTTTATTGTTCGTCCCATCCGAACGACTAGACAGTTGTCCCTGTCAGGCCCTCCGTCCTGCACCACTAACACGGGGAAACCACATGGGAAAATCCTAATGAACTTTTTCGGCCAATGTGAATTGAATGAATGATAAGCCTTCTGAGACTGAGACCTGACTAAACCTAAATTACTTAGTTTTCATTCATAATACAATAAACCATTCAATTCCAGCTATGAATGGAGAAATATAACGATCACTATAACGAAAAAAATCTTCCCAAGAATTGTAATATCACACAGACATGTCTACAACAATACAACTTTCATTAGTTACTAGTCTCTGTTATTATATAGTGAATAAGATTATTGACTAGCCTTAACAATAGAAGCATTATGGGGTGGTACTAAATGCGATGTTTTGTACAATCCTTTTAGTTACAACACTATGGTAATGTGACAATATGTTAGTCCATTCTTACGAACGAACGGTTCAACACACCTGAACAGGTGTATTGTAATCAAAAGCTTTCAATTTATATATTTAAGAGAAATGCTTGAGTCAGAGATTTAAAGAATTCAGAGGTTCAAGAGATCATTAAAGATGCATTATGTAAAAGCTAAGTCTGTATTAGTGCAGGTCGTTTTTCCAACTTTAAACCTTACATAGATTATTATTTAGACATTTATTCACATGTCCAGCCTATAATCAATTCTCTAGATCATCGGATGGCCGAGATTTAATGATAAAATGAATAATCAAGACTTTTGACTCGATTGTCAAGTACCGTTGCTAAGATAATAAACAATCTATGCTACATCTTAAATCAATCACAACTTCAACCAGAATAAAGTAATTTGAATGAAATTTTTAATATATTCATTTTTCATTACCCATTTTGGAACTTTTATAGCAAGAATGATTAGATCTTTATCTAAATCCCATATAATGTATCTTTAAAAAATTCACAGGGATCATTAAAAGACAGTATTAAGTTTAAATGCATTTGAATAATGATGATGCATATTCAGATAGTGCTAACAGAATAATTCAAATTTGCTTAGTTTCTAAGCTGTTCAAAGCTATTTATTATTGTTCATTAGTTGATGTCATTTAAATCTAAACGAATTTGACCTGTTTTTTGTCTACTATGAATTATATACTAATATCAGTTCAATCTAATTTAATTAATAATAAAAATAATCAATTGAGAAATAAGCGCAGTTGAAAAATAACCAAGAGAATCTCTTTAAAGAAAATATATAGATTTGAAAGATTTCCAGTATCTGGAAATACATTAAAGTTGCAATTTCATATTTTTAAATTATATTTTTAAAAATGTATTAAAATAAAGCCTTAAAATAGATGGTATCTATAAACAGTCATACCTTGTTAAAGAATAATCCTATAATTCACTATTGCCAGTTGAGAAATTGGCAAAAATATCATCTTCCTCTTCAAATTCAAACGTTTGAAGATAACTACTCCATGGTGGAGAATAGAAAACAAGGGAGGTAATTGGGCGGTACATGTAATTGTGTTATTATTTCCGGTGTAAATGAGTTTTAAGTGTGAGAATGACACCTATGATTGTATAATAGTAAGTTGACAACCTATTGAGCAAAAGACATAGAAATAATAATGTTTTGACTTTCTTAGAAAATATGAAATTGTAACTTTAAATTAAAAACAGCCCAAAATTGATCATTTAAACTAATTCCAATAACTGAATAGAATTCAAATAATGACTTCTAAAATGGTAAAATTTGCAAATGATGTGACAACTACTATGAAAATAAATACAATTGTATTGGCAGATATACATCTATGTATAGTTTACCAACAAATCATTTCTAGATGAAGTTATTCATGTTGATATTACCAATTCTTGTATTAATTCCTGATGTTTTTGATACCTCTGATGATATAGACAAACCTTGACCTTAATATCGTCACTTTCTACTTTCAAATGCCTTCATAATAAAGCACCAATGTGTTTGTCTGAACTTTTAAATTTATATACATGTACTCCAGATAGAAAACCTTAGCTATATATAGGGCACGTTCTTTCATGTAATCAATTACTTTTTAATATTAAAATGTTGACATCAGTACCGGTAGTTCATTTTAAAAAAAATGATTAAAACTTTCTTATTTTTAAAGGCTTACAAAAACATTTTTAACCACTATATGTATTTAAGAAATAATTGTATAAAGGATTCTTGACCCTATAATTTCAAGAAAAGAAACTGGACACGACACTAAAAAAAATTAATTTAAATCTCAACCACAATATTTCATGTCTAATAGAGAGGAAGCCGCAGTGGGTTAGTGAATAAGACAATGGCTCTAAGGCCTGGATATTCCATACTGGATCCTGATGTTGGACGAGAAAATTTCATCAGGCTTTTTACCGCATGGTACCCCCCTTGTCAGTGGTACAGGATGGAGGGCCTGGCAAGAGACAGTGTATAGTCGATCAGATTGGATGAAAAACAGGGGTTCAGAGTACACATTGGCGAGCTCGTACAAGGACCCTTGGTAGTAGGAATTGGATATAAAATAGGCCATACTGCCGCTGTCTGGGCAAACCTTCCCTTCTAGCACACTGTATGGTGTATGCCCGTCTTCATTAGCCCAGTCAGTCCAGAACAGTAGGACGTTAAACCCTATTTCTAATTTTGAAAACTAGAAGCCCGGAATTGCTATTTCCAGTGATCTAAAGTGCACCCCCTGTATCCAGAAATAGAGTTTAATGTCCTACTCTTTTGCACTAATCAGGCTAAGAACAATGGGCATTCACCATAATTGTGCTATGAGTGAAATGTTTCCTGGACAACAGAGTTTGCGCTGGCTCTCTATAAAATTCCAACTGTGAACGCCAACATATACACTGGAACTCAGTTTTCGTTCCATCCGAACAACTAGACCCTGTTCTTGCCAGGTCCTGCATCAATGACAAGGAGAAATCCCACTGAGAAATCCTGAGGAACTTTGTTGATAATTAATAAGAACTTGCAAAAATTCCTATCCACAAAACACACTCTGACATACATACATACATACATACATGTAGGTAGGCCAAAAGGCTTAGGATTAATTAAAATAAAATACTAACGGGTGGTGGATTTTCTATAAATAGTTCATAGATGGCACCATTAGATCCAAATTGGATAATGTCTGCAGGTGCCAAACGCACAGCTGCATTCTGAACACGCACATCATTAACATAACTTCCTTGAACGGTATTTAAATCTTGTAAAACAAAACAATCTTCTTCTTGATAATATTCTATGACAGCATGCTGATAATCCACTCCAGGAATCTAAAATAAAGAATTAAAGCAGTAGGATTATTGACTTTCCAAACCTACATGTAGTTATACAGAGAGAGAGAGAGAGAGAGAGAGAGAGAGAATTTAACATCCACTCAACACAAATTAGGTCATTTCATGAGTGACACATGGTTCAATTTTATTTCAATAATTCGCTTGCGTTTAGGGTCTTTAGCAGTTGAAGGAGGAACTGGGGGACCCGGGAAAAACCCTTGAGGTTGGACAAACGACCCGACCCTACTCCTTGTCACATACAACTAGGAAACTGAAATCACGCCAGCTGACTCAGTGACAGACCTTATGATACAGTGAGCACTTGCTAACCATCCAGCCATCCAACCCCCAACAGAGAAACAAAATAAGCTCATTAAATCAGAGTACACATCATTCTATGGAAATGAATACTATTTATTACTTAGCGACCATTCAATTAGGCGTAAATTCCTGTAGTCTTTTTCTTCAGTCTTTATACTGAATTATTCTACCTCGAAAGTCAATATTTCAGTTTCACCACTCATATTAATTTTCTAGTATATTTTTTGTTATCTAAAATCTGAGCAAAATCGAACAAAAAAATAGTAAAAAATGAATATTAGCAGTGAATACTGATTTTCGAGGCAGAATAATTTGGCCTCCATTAATAAACTGTAATTGTATTCCATAGAAATGTCTTGTGTGTATTTTCTTGTCAATTATATTAATTGGCATTGGAACAATTTATTAAAATATATTATAAATGATTATTGACAATAAATTCTATGTATTTTTAGATTCATTTCGAAAACCTATTTTTTATGAAGAAATTCCATATAAAATAGGAAATTATGTAAAAGAAATAAATATTGATTGATTTATTGATTATATGACAAACAAATCATAACAATGATGTATGTATCTAAGTAAGCAATCACAAAATTGATTCTTTACTTTGAATAATAATAGGCCTAGCCATTTAGTATACAAAATTAACATAATTGACATTAATTAATAAATTCATTTCTTCTCGATATTCATACTCCAAAATACACAATTTTATTCACCTGTATCGTCACATCACATCCTTCACGACCTATAGTTGTCACTTTTGGTGACAGTGGAAATAAGTTTCCATCGGCACCTTTCAAATAAGCCTTCATAGTTTACAGTCACAAAACAAACACAGGCGGTAAGATAAAAGAGAAACGTCGGAACAGGTGCCCGTTTTCACAACAGTTACAGATCCTTTAACGTAGTCAAGTATACTCTTTTCGACAAGGGATTTATATCACATTAATTTGTTTCATCCATATTCCTTATTTTGTCCATAATTTAACAGTAATCATTGAATTGGAACCTCCCTCCGCCGCCTGAAACTGTTTCCACTTGCATGCTATTGCCGACATGACAACCATCTAAACAATAATAATCTCGAACCTAGAAACTAAACTTTAAAAAATAGTGATCTCTGTCGATCTAAAAGCTTGGAAATTATTTTAACGCAATTTAGTTATTGAAATAAAAACAATACCCGATAAGATGAACATTTGCCGTTTATTTATCATATAAAGCTTTTTTCAATGCAATTATAAGATTGACCTAGTTGTGGGTGGAGAGTATTAATTTAATGCAACCTTCATTACTTCCGGTCTAATTCTGAACTTCCGTTTTGGAAACGAGATCTCTGAATTTATTGAAAACGTTAAATAATTTATGTTTCTAGAAATTCGCTGATCAAAAACAGTCAATATGCCTACTGCTCTCGTTATTTTGTGCGATGGCGCCGAAGAAATGGAGACTGTCATTATTGTTGATGTTCTCAGACGTGGTGCGGTAAGAATCTAAAGTGCTAAATTGAAAGTAAAGCCTGGTCAAAGCGGAGAAAGCCTGGTCAAAGCGGAGAAAGCCTGGCCGACCGTCGGTTGCACTAAATGAAATGAAATGAAATAAAATGGGGTTTAACGTCCTACTGTTTTGCTCCGAAATGGGCTAATGAAGACGGGCATACGCCATACGAGTGTGTCATGAGGGAAATTTTGCCTGGACAGCGGCACTACAGCCTACTCTTATTATATCGAATTCCCCCTGCATCACTGACAAAATCTGGATGAACTTTCTCGGCCAATGCAGTCGGTTGCACGGATTTTCGTACTATAATATATAATGTAGTTCAACCTGTGGTCGTGACCAGCCATACCTTAAGGTAGAGCACGGTCGGGATAGTTCGAACTACAGGCACAACCATAGACTAAGTCTACATCCGAAGGTCGCCCTAGGGACCCCCCCCCCCCAAAAAAAAAATGAAATGAAATGGGGTTTAACGTCCTACTGTTCTGACTCTGCTCCGACTGGGCTATTGAAGACAGGCATACGCCATACAGTGTCCTATGAGGGAAATTTTGCTGCACTATGGCCTACTCTTATATCAAATTCCAACTGCCAAGGAATCTTTTACGTGCACGCCAATGTATACACGGGACTTCGGTTTTTTCATGCTATCTGAAAGGCTAGAGTAGACAGCTGTCCTTGTCAGACCCTTTGTCCTGCACCACTGACAACCTATATTGGTTCAGGTCAATGATATAGTATGTCATTATATATATATTCAAGCATAATCAACAGTGAGATCCTGATTGTTCGATAAGTAAAGATCCCAGTCTACCATACACATTTTGTATCACTAATACTCATTTTGCGTTACACCTTTTGCATTCCGGTACATGTATTTAATTTCCCAGAATCATATTTAGCATTTGACACAGGTAATAAAAACAATAACATAAAATGGAACACAATTACTTTTTTGATTAAAGGGGGCATTATAAAGATTTAGACGTTAAGCTCACTGTTCTCACTACATGTATATTATTTAAAAAATAGACAATGAAAAGGGAATATGTTGAAAATTTCAGTCAAATTACTTAATTCTGAGTTCTAACCTTCTATTTTTCACTGTAGAAGTAGGAATCATTTCTCACTACATCGTACACAAATTTATAATAATCCTCTATTAAAAAACGTAAACAAAGTACATTTCATTTGGTCTACCATTAAGAGACTCGCACTTGCTCAGACCTCATGTTGAAAATAATTTTGTTTTATCACTGTAGCTTTAATAATTATTTTCAAAGTAATAACATTTAAAGATACATTAGTTAAGAGTTTAATAAAGAGTTGGTTATTTTTGCTATAATAATTCAAAAATAGATGATAAAAAAAAGAAAATATTGAAAATTTCATTCAAATTACTTCATTCTCAGCCAAGTTATCATTGTTTGTAGTTTTGACAAGATGTGTGCACAGTGGTAACCAGGGCACTGGTATAATAGGGACTTAGCCTCAATTTCCCATTTTTAAATTAAATTTTTAAATGTCGAACCGTTTTAATCTAGTTAAAATCCTGAGTATCTTATGCCATCGAGAGTCGATTATGGTCTTGTTTTGTTTATAAATGTCTAATTAATATATTTCGGGCCTAAAGAAAGACCTGTAATAGGCAGATTTAACTCTTGCATAATGTATGTTTAATAAATAGATTTATTTGTTACAGATTGATGTAACCTTGGCGGGTTTAACCGGAGGTGACCCAGTTCTCTGTAGTAGAAATGTTCGTATAGTACCAGATAAGAGTCTAGAAGAAGCTAGTAAAGATGGACCATATGATATCATTGTTTGTCCTGGTGGGGCCAAGGGTGCCAAAAATCTTTGTGAGGTGAGCAGTGAACAATACCGGTACCTAGTTTAATGATATAAGAATTATTAATGGGGAAAGACATTTTGCATTGACATCTGATACATGTAGGCAATGAAAGTAACTGTTTGTGAGATATCATTGGCATAATTTGGAAGTGGGAGAACCAAATGGTCTAACATGTGCTTTAGATCATAAGGTCTGTCATTGGAACAAGTGGCATGGTTTTGATTCCAAACTTGTACATGTCCACACTGATCAGCAGTGAATTCTCGCTAGGCCACGACAATCACTGATAAGGATGACATCGATGCGACTTAATGAGACACAAATATTAACGTTTTTCTTCCTTCAAATTAAATTCTAAAACATTTTTTTCATTTATTAACTTTTTTCTTCCTTCAAATTAAATTCTAAAACATTTTTTTCATTTATTAAAAAAAATAAATAAAGACGTTTGAATTATTTGAAATCATTTCCTATTTAGTGTAAATGGGTATTAAAATAAGTAAAATTCACCATTTAGCCCGAATCAGTAACGTCTTATGTAAACAATGCATGCACTATTGAGCCAATGATTGACGCCGTGTGACGTGACGTCACGTGTCGAAACAGTCATCTGTTACAGAGATATTAGAAGATCTCTGTGAAACAGATTGGTACATGTCAAGGAGTATAATGTCAACTGCCTAATCTTTATTGGGTTTTCCCTGGATCCTGTGGTTTCCTCCCACTGTCTGTCACACTTTTTGGGACACAATAACTCTCCTTCTAATTGAGCTAGAATGTTCAAACTTGGAGTAGATGTTCATTAGATGAATGTCTTAACTGAGTTCAATGATTAACATTTTCCACTAAAGCTAAGCAGTTTCACTGGTCGATGCTTTGGGACAAGATAACTTTTATTCTAACTGATGGAGAGTGATGAAACTAAGTGTATAGTTTCACTACCAGGTACTTCAAAACCTTGACTGAGTTTGATCGTGAACATTTTCTGCTTAGACTAAGATTAGATAATCAGGTTTGATTGCTCAATACTTTTCAAAAAGATAAATGTGCAATTATTTAGTATGTGTCATCTATTTATTTTGGGATGTCGGTGGGGGACATCAGCCTCACTGTTGGCTTGTTCTTTGAGAAAGCGGCGCTATAGCAAATTCTTATTTTAATTTTCAAATGGTCTCATCAACGCTACAGCCTACACTTATGTGTATGCAGGACCTTGGTTTTTTTTAGTTTTGTGCCACAAAAATGACTAGACTCATTTCCTGAAGGTTATGCTCCACTTACACCAGGATTTGAATGTTTAGAAGTCATTGTACTATAATCGCCAACCAATCATTGTAATGTATAGAAAGAACTAAATATATATTTAATTATAATTCTAGTCTGGGGTGGTTGGAAAGCTGCTACAAGCTCAAGAATCAAATGGAAGATATATTGCTGCTGTGTGTGCTGGTAGGTATTCGCATCACTTAATATATCCTGATTCATCACCTTTTAATCATTCAAATTTGTCATGGTATGGGGTCGTCTGTCCAACCACGTGGGTTTTCTCCAGGTCCTCCTCTTTCTTCCAACTGCTAAAAGACCCCTACGCGCAAGCAAATTATTGAAATAAAATTGAACCATATGTTAGTCCCAAAATGACAAAGTTTGTGTTGAATGGACGTTAAAGCCCATTTCTCTCTCTCTGTCTATTTGTATTCTACATGCTGAATGAAGTTAAAAAAGGAATATAGAAATGGATTCCATCTGTCCTGGGTTCAGATTTGATCATGTTTGTGTTGCCATAGAAACAAATTTGACTTGGTTTTGGTACATGTATATAAAAGTGTGAAGATGTTGATGACTGAATCTTCTTGCTTATTTTTCATGTCTTGACAGTTATGTGTTATCTATCACTAATGTCTAATAGTCCACTGTTTTCGGTCGGGTGTTCGATCCCTGCACTGGCCGATAAAGTTCATCCAGATTTTCCAGTGTGGTTTCCTCTTGTCAGTGATGCAGGACGGAGGGCCTGACAAGGACAGCTGTCTTGTCATTTGGATGGGATGAAAAACCGAGGTCCCGTGTACATATTGGCGTGCACGTAAAAGATCCCTTGGCAGTTGGAATTTGATATAAGAGTAGGCCGTAGCGCCACTGCCCGGGCAAAATTTCCCTCATAGCATACTGTATGGCATATGCCCGTCTTCATTAGCCCAGTTTAGGAGCAGAACAGTAGGACGTTAAACCCCATTTCATTTCATTTCATGTCCACATTTTCTGGTTACATATGTAAATAATTACACAAAACAAAGATGAGTCTTGATTTCTATAATTGAGAGTCTTTTTTTGACATTGTGTTCATATTCATTGGCCTGGATCGAGCAGAAAAGTAGGGCCTTAAATTTCATTTGTTTGGCATAGCGCCTTTTAAAATGATGTTTGTTTTTCAGGCCCCACTGCTCTGTTAACCCATGGTATAGGTAAAGGAAAGTCTCTGACTTCACATCCCAGTGTAAAAGACCAATTAATGGCAGGTAAGATATTAAAGTTAAAACTATATTATTAAGAATTTTTATCTTCATTTAGTGGAATTTAGCAGTTTGATACATAACAAGACTAACAGTACAGTTATATGTAACAACAATTATTGGTTTATTATACACTGACATAAGGGTTTCGATAAATACCCTCATATCAAGCACAAATGACATTTAATAAACTGAAAAATGTACAGGCTAAAATTACCTATAAACATTTCCTCAAGAACACAAAATCACAATATCAATCTTCTGGATTTGATTCAGTCGGATTAAAAAGATTTGACCAACACTCATAGATAGTGCTTGGCTTGATTATGTCGTCTGCAGAGGGTACTGGATGTAGTGAATTTTTCAGTTAATCATATTTTTGGAAATAATTGATCCATTTTTGGACTGATATTGTAATTTGCAAATCCCCGATAAGAAAATCGGAGACTTTAAATGAACTTGATCAGCATTAATTACATTGAAGGGGGGGTTGGGTGGCCGAATGGTTAAGGTCTGTCATTGAGTCAAGTGGTGTGGTTTCAATTCCCCACTTGTACGTGACAAGTAGTAGGTTCGCCTGTCCAACCTCATGGTTTTTTGCCGGTTCCTTCAGTTTCCATCCACTGCTAAAGACCCTTACGTGCAAGCAAATTAATGAAATAAAATTGAACCATATGTTAGTCCAGAAAAAAATTAGTTTGTTTTGAGTGGACATTAAACCCCATTTCTCTCTCTCTCCTTCTCTCTATTAATTACATTGAATAAATTCAATCTTTGGGTCACACCAATGGCTTTAACTGTAATTATCACCATATATTTCAGAGGGCTATCAGTATTCTGAAGAACGAGTTGTTCAAGATGATAAACTAATCACCAGTCGAGGACCAGGAACATGTTTTGAGTTTGCTTTGAAAATCGTCGAAGCCATTCACAGCGCTGATGTAGCCAAGTCATTGGTTGAACCAATGTTATTGAAATTGTAAAACCAGTGCTGAAAGGACTTGGTTTACGGTTTATACGGTCATTGCTGGCGTCTGCCATACCTTCCTTCTTGTAAACACTCCAGAGGTCAAAGGTGATGAAGATTTGCTAAAGGTTTATGATCAGAAAAAGTTGTCGGTGGGATTTTGAAAAACTTAGATCAATATTTTTGTTTTATTTGTCTGTTGATCAAGACTGTTCCCATGTTCAGTATTGTGTGTAAGCCAATTGACGTGATACCCTAAGTACTCCCCTTAAATTTGATTTACTAATTCCTAATCAAAGTTTGTTTAATGGGATTTTTAAAAGATTTGGTAGAATTGTGTCATTTAGATGTTTTCTATGGGAATTCTATAGTTCTTTGGTTTATGTTTAGAGCTCATGAATGTAGTAAAAGATAATTGTTTGTTTAATTATGTGAAAGTGAAATCTGTATCAATTTTATTTTAACTTTAGCTTAGTTATATTTTCTTTGCTACTTTGTAAAGTATGTTGACTTCATTGCCGTAGCGTCATGTGAAATAGCTTTATTTAACGTCAGCTTCCACTGAAGTGATGTCGCGAAAGTGATGTCACGATATATGGATAAAGCATCTCCCCTTAAAGTATGATCACTCACACATATGTTTCCCTAGCGATTTAAATACATTATATATCTTCACTTCTTTGTAAAGTATGTTGACTTATGTTTCCCTAGCAATTTATACTTAAACTATATCCGATTCTTTGGAAGGTATGTTGACCCTAGCAATTTATACATAAAGTTTAATTTAGGTTATCTCCCCTTATTTTTAAAGCATGTTGTTATTGTTTTAACTTACATTCCCCCCATATATCCATAAAATTCAATTAAACTGAAGGCTAAGTTAGATTATCTACCTTTATTGAAGTAAAGACCACTAATCGCTTCCTCTTGACTTCAAGATACACGAGTGTAGCCAAGGTTTTGTGAATAATCATGATTTTGAGGCAGGATCAGGAAATAAAAAGGCATGTATTAGTGAAGTCACGCAAGTTAAGCCTATAGATTTCATTGGCTAGGTTTACCAAAAAGTCAAGATGATCAGTCTCCCTCAATATCTTTATCAAATTGATTTTGACATGTTGAACTTTCTGTGGTTATACAGATTAATATCATTTAAATATTTAAAAAAAAAATGTTATAGGCCAAGGAATGGCATAGATTTAACATTGTAGTCTTTGGGGAGAAGATTTCTTGTCGGTTTAGATTATCTCCCCGTCTTTAGAACTTTTATTTTGAAGAGTAGGGTGTTATCTTATGTTTGTTACCCCAGTCATTTATTATTAAGTTGAACTAATTTGAAATAAAAGATTTATTACTTATAAATGTTATTCATGCCAATTCAGCATCCAGTCATTTTTGTCCCTCATTTTTCAGATCTACACATTTTTCCTAGACCCCGTGTGAAATTTTGGAGAGAATAATTTTGCTTGACTAGGCACACTTTCCTGGTCAGCCCCGTGTATGCAGACAAAATCTTTCACATGCAAGGTCCAGACTTGAAAAATGTCAGATTTCGAAATGTTTGATCTGATGTAGCCTGGAAAAACAAGTACCACCGTGCTATGGACCAGGAAATGACTACGACATCATCGCAAACATCTTGGTATTGTGACATATCACTCAGACATCGAAGTCCATCAATTGATGCGCATTTGTCCAATGAACAAGCATGCCCAGTTTTGAATCGATCGTACATGACTTGGTGGAGGCATAAGGGTATTTCTCGAAGACTTGTCGGCCAAAGAACAACAAGATACATAGCACTTGGGAACAAGTTTCTGGTCCAGGAAATAAAACATAACTAACGAGTTTCTGCATATAATTTTATTTCTCCGTCAGTCAAGATGTTATGTCATGTTCGTAACTATATGATATACATCCATATAAATTACATTAATAAGGTACAATCTAAGAAATGAAAAAAATTATATCTCTCAAAAAATAAATATTTCACATAGTAAAATATGGTTTATTTAAACAACATTTTGATTTGTTGTGTTTAGACTTAATTACATAATTTTCTTTATTTCATTTATGGCATGCATAATTATATTTAAGTTAAAGACAATTAGGTAACTTGTATTTTGAAACACATCTACATTTAGACATTTGTGGAAATAAGCTTAAGCCTACTGTATGAACTAGGAGTCCTCTTGGAATTGTGACGTCTTATCAAAAATCAACCACTGTTGATCGATACGCAATAGTCCGAGAACCCTTAAGTTTCATGTCGATATCTACTCCGTAACTCGAATTGTATGGAACAAGTTCCCGACTAAACAAGTTCCAGCGAGCTTCATCATGTTTTGTTCATGAACGGTTGAATAAGGTGACGGAACGAAATGTCCACAAGACGAAAAGAACACGAGCGGTGATTAAACCATGTATGGTGCCAACACAACAGAGTTATAATAAGAGTACTTTCTTCATGTAAGACATATCTATCAAAGGACTACATTAGCCTAAACACTTAAAACTCTTACGAGTCCCACTAATTCAGGCCTGGTAATTCAACAGAGGTTTCTTTGCTAAATCTTGTGACACCAGTTGCCTAGGAGTACAGGAATAAACACTTCCGTCAAAGAGAGAGAAATGGGGTTTAACGTCCACTCGACACAAACTAGGTCATTTTTAGCAGTGGGAGGAAACCGGAGAACCCGGAGAAAACCCATGAAGTTGGACAGTCAAATAAAGAGAAAATGATAGAACTCTGGTAGTGCGAGAGATTAGATTAATGAACTAAACATCTACGGCATCTTCTGCTGTACAGGATTTCAATAATTCGCCTAATTTTTCACAGAACACACATTCACCATTCATATCTCAAAACAATTATATTAACAATGACAAACATTATATCTCTATTACTGGTAATTTCAACAAACAAAAACAATTCATATTAATATCCGATTCTAAAAATTAAACAAAAAGATACTCGTACAAATGCATTATTTTTAACAATTAAATCAAAAAATACATTAGTATGTAAAACATGTATATGTATATACAAATAACTTTTCTCACCAAACATAATATTTGCGATAACATAATTTACAAAAGAAAAAAATAAGCAACAATCAATAAATCTCAATCCAGGCATTAATATGGTTAGCAATATATAGATAGTAAATAATTTCTGGGGCCTGATTCATTAAAGCTTAAACTAAAGTATTTGAAGAATGCAGCCTTTTTATTGGGTGAGAATTCAAATGTTAACAAATGGAAAGTTTTTGTGAATAAGGTTTGGGAGCCATTGAACCAATAGCTTGGATGAGCAAACTCTATAATTTTTTTTATTAGCCAAACCCATCCAAGATTTATTTTTAAATTATTATGCATTAGACCCTAAAAATATATAATTATTTTGATTATCCACTACAAAAAATCAAAGCATTAATGATTGATTAATTAATTAGCAGGAAATAATTAATACACTACAGGAACAGATGTGAATACAAGATGGCACCCAATATAATTGACAGATCACATTAAATATATAATATTCATTCTTACATTGATTCTTACACTTGGCCAAGCATGGACATGAGAACAGATGTGAATGCAAGATGGCACCCAATATAATTGACGGATCACATTAAATATATAATATTCATTCTTACATTGATTCCTACACGTGGCCAAGCCTGGACATGAGAACAGATGTGAATGATAAATCATGGATCACATTAAATATATAATATTCATTCCAGATGTAACTGATTCACGCTTGTTGCCAGTATGGGGATCAAGATACCATTCAGACCCTTATGTTAAACTGGTATAAAAACGCTGGCAATGGTTAAGCCAGCTTAACTTTGTCATATGACATTCTGAACGCCAAGTCGGCCAAATAAATTTTAAAAACTCGGTTCGCTACCTGTCTTTGGAGACGCTAACTTTCAATGCTGGCTACTCTACCCTTAAAAATGCAGGCTCCAGCTAGTGTTGTATCTTTCTTAGAAAATGCTCACATGTACCCATGCATAATCAAACCTTTCCTTTATACGACAGGATGGAAATAGTTCAACCGGTTAGGCATACAGTATACACTCCCGCCGGTTCTAAAATAGTTTAAATATAAGCACCAGAATAGCATATATAGGACAGTTATTTTACAGAAACTTGCTGCTCATGTCAAAAAGCTATAATAAATTTATTTCATATGAATAATAAACATATTGGATATTTTAGAGATTTTAAATATGTAAATAAATTATAGAGAGTAGAAAAATACCCCCAAGAAAGCTTTTTATTAATATGAGACATGTCTACTAAAAGAGGTAGTTTATGCCAGAGCTTTTACATTGCAATTTTGTCAGCTGGTTAATATTCGATGTATTTTGTTTACTTTAAATTAGCAAAATATGTTTCTCAAAGATGACAATGACAATTTTTAGCATTAGTCCAATTTTTAAATATATTTTTAAGTGCGTTTATACATAAACACTATTAATTTAATTGAATTTATTGTATTTCAAGGTTTTAAAATTATTTGAAAACTGAATATTGGGATCTGTAAATTGACTTGCAGGCAAATTCTCTCATGGGTCATTTTCACTACCAGTCAGTCTAGACTGGCAAATATTACCGAAATGAGAGCCCTGAATTATTCCTTGGTTTTAAAAGCAATCAGAAATGACTACTGTATATTCTAAGTGACTAGCTTATAATCAAGATGACTTATGACTATTCCACTGATGTTGGGGTCTAGAGAATAAACCTGCAATACAGCGAGACCATTATATATTTTACACATATCTTGATTGTATAGATCTCATTATTTACAGGGAGTCATTTACTCAAGCTACTACTTGTAGCAACTTTATGATGTACAGTTAACTGTGGTGAGCGAGACATTAATATATTACGCAATGTCTTGCTCGAGACCTTTAAACTCCCTAAAATACAGAATATACACAATGAACGTGCATTTCTATGAAATCATCACTATGATTGTCATCTTCTATAAATAATGTATTATTGGGAAAGTGTCATATCACTATTTAAAATAATGGTGCACTAACATCACAAATTGACGTCACACCTGTATTTAAAATAATGGTGGGCTAACATCACAGAATGATGTCACACCTGTATTTAAAATAACATTATTTCATTACCTATCCACTTTGGAAAGGTGCCGTAACATTATTTGAAATAATGGTGTGCTAACATCAAAGGATGACGTCAAGATTGGAAAAGCACCTGTAACATTTATTTGAAATAATGGCACGCTAACATCAGAGGATGACATCAAATCTATATTATAATAATGTTATTTCACAAAAACATGAGTTAACTATCCATCTTAAAGTTGCCAATTACTGGCCTAATGAAACAAGCATAGAACCAGCTTAGAAGTCTCACAATTACTTCGTAATCAATCAAGGCAAACTACCCATTTATACACAATCAGTTTACTGAATTGACTAGTTTATAGAAATGGAAATTTAAGCATAGTGCGATTGTCTGATCCCAAATCTAACTAGTACATACAATAATGTAATTAGCAACATTTTATTTTCACACAAATTGAAGAATGTCTGCCTCTTTAAACACAGACAGTTTTCATTAGATATAAATCAATCTCATTCAACAACAAAATTAACACAAAAAGGATTAAGGGTCAAGGGTCGTATCACATGTCATATTCATTATCAGGGATCTTGTTCACGTAAATTTAAAGTAAATTATTTTAGGAAAAAACTTTGAGTGGTATTTAGTAATGGAGAGTAATAGTAACACACTAAAATGCTTAAATTAAACATACGATTTTTTTGGAAAACAATTACCATATTTCTAATAGAAACGTAGCCCTGATTAAAATATAATACCAGTAATTGTTTTCCATAGAGAGAGAGAGAAATGGGGTTTAACGTCCACTCGATGTAAACTAGGTCATTTCGGGACTAACATATGGTTTCTAAACATGCAACATTTTGTCAATGGCGTTCTTGTCTTTAATCACATAAATGATGAGTAATATCAGCGACACAATCCTTGACAAGTTGCAGGTTTATAAACCAGTACCAGGTAATTGTTATTACAACTTTCAGCGAGTTTCTCATTTTAGGAAAGCAGCCTTTCCATTGGCCAAGAGCTTAAATTTTCTTTTAGTATTCTAACCCTCGACCAATACAAAGGCCACATCCTAAAAATGTTCTAGCTTAAATTTTGCAAATACGATTCCAGACATTTACCCTTTTGTTAAATTTCACCAAACCAATGGCTTGACATAAAATCATCAATACAAAAAAATCTCTGAAGATAAAGTCAAGCTTATCAAAAACTTTTTACCAAGTCCCAACTTTAGTCAAAGAAAAGGGGCTGCGTACACGACCCTAAGACAAAAAAAAAAGTCTTTACGTCTAAATATTGTCACTTGATAATTCTCGAACCTGTGTATCACACTAATAACGATTGTGTTTATTATAAACCTCCTGTAGCGTTTTTGTCTTTCAGAACGTAGACCTTGTAAAGTTTATTCATCTGTTCTAAGAATATAAAGGTAAGTACTGTGTGGGGACCAAGTCTAGCATAGTATGGGGTAAATCCCTTCCATAAACTAAAGAAGCCTTCGCTCCGTATAGTCTTGGCTAACACATCCTAAAATAAAAAAATATAAAAATATTTAAAAATCAAAATATTGTACAAATTAAATAATGCTTAACCCTTAACCGGTCATTGCCGACTATAATCACCACGACATTGTACAGCTAAGTGGTCACGGTCGACTGAAGTCGACCACAGCAAGAATCTTTTTTATAAGCCGCATTTGAGTATTTAGTTTTGTATTTAATTGATATGGCCACGCATGCGTGTCAGACAGGAACTTGTCTTGTCAAGGGCATTGAGAAAAACATGTCTTTGTTCAACATTTTTTGACAAAAAACGTATTTTAACGATGTCGGGATGGTTAAAGACTCTCAAAGTAGTTGAAATGCTTATGAATGATTCCAACTCGGATTATATTGATGACACCGATTCCGAAGACGATATTTTTTTGATGAAAATGATTTAGAATGATTTGCAAACTATAGATCAACTTATCCCCTTCAACTTTTTTATTGGTGTCAAGAGTCTATCACTTATAGTTATCCGGCAGTAGTCAATTGAAATAGGCATACAAAATATTTCACTTTAGCCTTTATTTAGTCTGACCACTTGACATCATGACGTCAAAATGACATCGACCGGTTATGGGTTAAACATACATTATGCAAGAACCAAATCTGCATATTGCAGGTCTTTCTTTAGGCTTGAAATGTTATATAAATTATTAAGTTTTAAACTTACAATAGCACCAGAATATTCAGGGACTCCATTTATAGTCTTCATACTTTGTATTCTGGAAAACCCAAAAAATAATTATTCACCTGTTGATTAAGATTATGTTTGCATTGAAGATTTCGCTTAGTGAGTATATGAATGTCTACCCCATAAACCCAATTTTTTCCTTATTTCTTCCTTAATTAAATCAGGAAGTAAGACATTGGCTCACTAATCTGGATGTCCCGTGTTCGATCCTGGTGTTGGCTGAAAAAGTTCATCAAAATCTTCACCTTTTCAGTGGTGTACGAAAAAAGACTGGCAAGGGACAACATAGTCGTTTGGATGGGACTAAAAAACACAGGGGTCCCATGTACACATTGGTGTACTGCACGTTAAAGTACACTTGACAGTTGGAATTTGAAAAAAAAAGGAAGAGGCTATAGTGGCTCTGTCCGGGCAAAATTACCATAACATACATGTACCCGTCTCATTCGCCCAGTCGGTCCAGAGCAGTAGGATGTTAAACATAAACCCTATTTCATTCCTACCTTGTTTTCGCTATATCCACCGGCATAGATGCTGCTGTAGTAACCAAACCACTAATCATACTGGCACAGAAATGGAGGAGAAGATTTTCACTAAAATAACCTGTAAAATAGAAAACAGAAGATATAATCAAATATATTGTTTCCTATGACTTAAAGTCTGTTATACTTTCAATTTCTATATATCGCTTCAACTAGTGCTCACAGAAATATCTAATTTCCATTAGTAGTTTTTACAATTTATTCAATGGTTATAAGAATATTCAAATATTTGATTTTGCATAGTTTTTTTTTAGGATATTCAATTTGATCCTTTAGTGTTTGTTATTCGATGGTTTTTTTTTTTGTTTCCTATGAGGATTTTCTGGCGTGGATTCACTTTGTCAGTGGTGCAAAACGGCAAGGACCGACAAGGACAGCCGTCAAGTCATTGGGATGGAAAACCAAGGTCATGTGTAAGCTTACGCATTGGAATGCATGTAAAAGATCCCTTGACAGTTGGAATTCAATATAAGAGTAGGCCGTAGCGCTGCTGTCCGGGCAAAATTTCTCTCATAGCACCCTGCATGGCGTATGCCCGTCTTCATTAGCCCAGTCGGAGAAGAACAGTAGGACGTTAAACCCCATTTCATTTTATTTCATGTCATTAAATGACATCCAACAAATGTTCAAAAATAAACAGATGGATGAAAGAAAATATATCATGGTATCTTGTAATGTGAAAATACATCAAAAACTTTCCAAATTTCATTTATTTCAATCGAATTGAATATTCAGATAATGACAGATTAATTAGCACCTGATGTGATGACTAATTGTAACATACAAAGTATTTATTCACTCTTCTTTCACTCATCCTATATCTATACTAATATTTTTGACTGTGGTTTGTCTAATTTGTGACTGTTTGTTTCATTTGTGACTATTGTCTTTGTCTGTTCAGGGTTGGCGGCTACACTAAGGCTGTCCCGAGGTTGAAATTTGTGGTGTATAGGGCTAGCTCGGACCGGGGAGTAACATGGGCTAGGTGGTGTTGGCCTACCACTTCTGGTTTCGGAGTGATAGACACAACCCATGCAGCGCTGGGGGTCATCCGCTAGTTACTTATATAATGGACACTACATAGATGTACCTACCTGACTAATTTTAACATACAAGGTTTTTATTCACTCTTCTCTCACTCATCCTATATTACTTATATAATGGAAACTACATAGATGTACCTACCTGTACCTATTAGAAATTGTTTAGCTTGGGAATAAGATGCTAACTGGGCTGCATTAACTACCATAGCTCTACCAACTGTAGGTATACAACCCTATAAAACAATCATTACAAATGAAGTCAAATTTGTTTCTATGGAAACAAACAAAAAATATTAAATCAAATAAAAAATCTCTAATTATCAAAATACCCAAACAAACATAATGGATTCATGTGTATGCAAAGTTTCAAAAAAAAAAATTCCCCACGAGATATGCTCCGGTAACCAAACCTGGACAGAGTCGATTTCAAACCATCGTGACTCCCTCTTGTTAACTATCCAATATAAATTGTCAATTTCATCATTAAATTCTACACAAGATAAATAGCACCATCAAACTCCTTATTAAAAAAATCTGGTCAATGTGAAGCTATTTTAAAATTTATAAGTTCAAAGATTTTCTATAGCGAAACCCAAATAAATTGGGCTGATGAAGACAGGCTTACCCCGTACAGTATGCTATAAGGGTATTTTGCCCTGACAGCGCCTCTATGGCCTACTCTTATATCGAATTCCAACTGCCAAGGGTTGTGAACAACAAACATGTTTTCTCTACTATATATATTGATGTACTTACTCTCCATAATGTAAGTACACCCTCCTCTTTCACTATTCTAGCTAAAGCATCTATAACATTTTTATATCCTCTTCTCTGATCAATAGGTAATCTGAATTTAGGCAATATTTATCTTAATACATCAAACTCTTTCTCTGTACATAAATTTTCATCTTACAGAAAAGTTAAAATTTTCCAAGAGATGAATCCACGATAAGATGTACCGGTACTCAAATTGATTATATTATTGAACATTTAAATAAGAAAAGAAAATTAAAATATCCTGGCTTGGATTCAATCAAATTATAGAATGCCCATTAAAGTTACAATTTCATATTTTCTAAGAAAGTCAAAACATTATTATTTCTATGTCTTTTGCTCAATAGGTTGTCAACTCACTATCATAGGTTATCTTTCTCACACTTAAAAATCTCACTCCGGAAATAATAACACAATTACCTCCCTTGTTTTCCTATTCCCCACCATGGAATAGCTATCTTCAAACGTTTGAATTTAAAGTTGAAAATTATATTTTTGCCAATTTCTCAACTGGCAATAGTGAATTATAGGATTAATAGGATTATTCTTTAACAAGGTAGGACTGTTTATAGATACCATCTATTTTAGGGCTTTATTTTAATACATTTTAAAAATATAACTTAAAAATATGAAATTATAACTTTAAAAGATTCAGGAAAACTCATAGGTGGCGATGGGTTTTGTTTAATATATCTTGCATATTGTGGATGTGGAATGGTGACGAATTTTCAATTTATCATATCTTTGCAAATACTGAAAGGAATGGGACCATTTTAGGGCTGATACTGATTTTACAGGTTCAACAGTCCCCCAAATGACATTCGGAATGGGGCTCTCGCGTCAACATTTTGTCAGTTAGTCAATTTTTTATGTGTTTTGTTAACTTCAAAATAGCAATATGTATCATTATCCCAATTTTTAACTAGATTTTTAAATGAAATAATAACTTAAATGCATTTAATGTTTTATGGTTAAATTCTTGGAAATTCTAACTAAATGGTATTTAAACTCTCTTGACATAAAAGGTAATTGTAGAAAGTGAATTAGGTAAAAAAGTTCATTAAAACACTAATTAAAGATACATTATAGGAGATTAGATAAAGAGCTGGCAGTTTTCACTATAATAGTTAAAAACTATATAATGCAAGGGGAATTAGCTGAAAATTTCAGCCAAATTGATCTACTCTGAACCGGGAATTTAGCGATTGCATTTTCGGTCTAGCCTTGATCATCATTACTAAAGTCGGTAAGATAAAAATTATAGTTTCGATTATCCATTTCATGATTAAATGAATGAAATTTGAGCAGCAAATCGGATCCTAATCCAGTAAATATTACAGGCTAGCGATGACATCGAGAGTTGATTATTGTCTGGATAAGTTAATTAATGTCTAATTAATAATTTAGATAACATTTAAGGCCTAAAGAAAGACCTGCAATAGGCAGAATTAGCTCTTGCATAAGGTATGTTTAAACTTACCGTCCATCTGATGTCATTCTAATTAATGCTACCTCTGCTGGTGTACCTACGAAAGCACCAATACCACCAGCCGTCACTCCCATTAAAGCTTTACCAAAAAATCCTGGTGGTTTACCATCTCTACATTACAAAGATAGGTCAGATTTAACATCCACATAAAATAACCAGATCAATTTGGGACAATAAAAATTCTTTTGAGCTCAGTGAAAGAAACTGGGAGGCAACTAATCAATCCAGCCTATCATCAACGATAATCGTATTAGCAATAGTTATATACCCAGTACAGTCAAATTTGGAAAATTGAATACTATTCACCATATCTTTATGTCCGATTGGGCATATTCATGGTTGGACATTTGGGAAAGAGCATAGGACATCTTCAGAATATACGAGCGAAATAGCATCACTGGAGGAAAGCCATGAGCTTATAACCAAGGCAACCATAATCTTCAACAGGCTCTTGGAGTCTACTTAACCCATGTAACCGTATTCGCGAAACACCGGCATTCTACAGCTGAACGCTTTATGACAATCGATACTATTCAAACTTTTGTTGGTTGAAGTAAGAAGCAAATAATTCAGGACTTGAAAATGATGAAGGATGTCCCAAAATACTGTATTATTCAGAAGCCGAATGTTACCGATTCTATTGTATATCTGTATATATAGTTTTTGTATGACTTACTTTGAAAACATATCAAATAATGTTGTGTAGATACCTAATCTTGTAGTCGTATACGTAGCTTGACGTAACAAACCTGCTGATAAACTAAAAACAAATACATTCAATTAGAGAGAGAGAGAAATGAGGTTTAATGTCCACTCGACACGAACTAGATCATTTTAGGACTAACATATGGTTCAATTTTATTTCAATAATTAGCTTGAGCATAGGGGTCTTTAGCAGTGGGAGGAAACTGGAGGACCCGGAGAAACCCTACTCCTTGTCACGTACAGTCGGGGAATCGTAAATATGCCAGTTGACTCAAATGATAGACCTTATGATACAACACATACGTGCTAACCATTCGGCCATACACCACCTGCCTGGACAGCGGCGAATTCAACTGCCAAGTAAACCTTCTACGTGCATGTCAGTTGTATTTTGAACAAGAGCAGACAGAAACACCCCTATCCAGGCAAAATTTCCCTTATTATTGCACACAGCATGGCGTATGCCTGTCTTCATTAGCCTAGTTGGTACAGAACATTAGGACATTAAACCCCATTTCATTTAAATATAAAACTGAGAATTTGTAATCTAAAAAGGTGTATGTATCAAGTACTTAAAAAAATAAAGAACTGCTAAGAATGTACACATATATTTTTTGTTTATATATTATAACCTATATGCCTAATTGTTTGTAACAACACATTCCATGTGATGTCAAGCTTTGTATGATAGAAAAATATATTTACAAATATATTCATATTCAAAAATTCAAAATTGTTCAAGTATGTCTTCACCTACATAAAAGTAGCAATACTGTTTTTAATTTATAAAAAGCAACCACATTATGTCTTTGTGCAGAGTTAACTCATTTCTCCATGAATACACTGCCACTCACGCAAATTCCAAATGTTTATAAAGTTTTTACTTTTTTTATTTCTTCTTTGAGCGGAATTTAGCAATTGATATACGTAATAAACACAAAAACATAATGTGACACAATTACTATTTTAATTAAAGCGACGTTTCGTTGAGGGTTCTCTCAGCGTCGCTTTAATTAAAATAGTAATTGTGTTCCATATGTTTTTGTGTTTATTGCAAGGCCAACTGTTCGCCATAATTTTCTTCTTGGCAAGCCTTGACCCTATAGTCTCAGTTTATCAAAGGTATTTATTAAGGACATGTCTACAATATTTTAATCAACAGAAACAATAATAAAGTCACAGGTTGAGACTTTGTCAATTGATGAACTTTTAATTGAAACTGCGGAAATTAAGATTCTACACAATAGATCGTAGTAATTTATTCTGTATCAAAAAGCTGTTTCCACTTTCTGTCAATTAAAACAAATTTAATCAATGATCTGATTTCAATCAACAATCACCAGGAAATATCTAATACCAATAAATTAAATATTAATTAGGAGAAGCATGAAATGAATCAAAATTCTGATGGCGCATGATATCTTTAGGCCTACAGATAATTTGTTGAAATAAACAGGCTGATTTGAAATTGATTATTCCAATAACTTTATAACAACAAATACTTTCTTGGATAAATTTCATTCATTTAGTAGAGATACTTGAACTTCCACTTCATAATTTTGCCAGGCGATCAATCTTTGACATATTTTGTTTACTTTGGATTATCAAGATTTTTGTTTTTTTCGAAATGAAAATTGACAGGATTTTTTCATATATTTTTTTTTAAGTGATTTTATTGTGATTGTTCCAAGGTTAAATGACCAGTAAACTCTCTAGCTGGTAAATATTATGTCTGTCAGTCAGTCAGTCAGTCAGTCAAGACTGCTAAATACGAATGAAATGAGAGACCTGTACAGTAGGCTACCCTCGATACCATATTTTATGGAGTATAAGTCAAATCGCCATATTTTACTGTTTTTCCGACCTCCATCCATACATAAGTCGAAGCGGTATATAAGACAAATGTTTTTCAACTCCACGGTAGCAATCTATTATTGAGTTTCGGGACTGTTATATTAATTAAGATAAAATAATCAGTTTTATAAATGTAGGACTAACTCGATTAATATTTCAGGTTGTAGTCTTGGTTTATTCAAACGGATGCGAGACCTGCACAATACCCTAGATACAGTAATAGCTTTCTCAGAACTTGAAAAAACAAACATTGTAAATTGTCAAACTTACCCAGTGTACATACCAAACAGACCTTCATTTTTTAATATTGATTTTACTGCATGGAAACTAGTTTTATGTTCTCTAGCTTGACCTCCAACACCTACGAAATAAAAATCATAAAATAACAAATTTGATTTACTAGACTGGAAATTAAGCATCTGTCTCAGACATTGTCAGGCACAAATTCATGCTATTAGGACAATCCCTCTGGTGCCTGTTATTTTCTCTGGTACCGATTTATCAGACCTAGGCATACACGGTCTTTAATATGAAATGAAATGGGGTTCAACGTCCTGCTTTTCTGCACTTACAGGGCTAATGAAGACGGGCATATGCCATGCAGTGTGTTATAAGGGAAATTTTACCCAATAAATGTAAATTATCATCAAAGGTATTAAATTGTTTTCTTACCACTCAACTGCATTCTATTTTTAACTAAATCTAGTGGTTGTACAAAGACCGTGGCAGCCATACTGAAAATAAAAATGGTTTTCATAGTAAATGATTTTGATTGTCAAAGTTATCAAAAACTTCACTTAAAATCTTACAAATCATTTCTTGAAAAATAGCTAATTTAAATTAAATATATAAATCCTCTCCTAAAAGGAATTAAATTTTTGTCTTCTCCAAATTTATAGAAAAGCAACTGTTTACTATGGTTTTGGTGATGTTGAGTGAATGGGGAGGTGGAAGAGGAGGAGGAGGTGGAGCAGGAGAGAAGGAGGGAGAGAGGGAGGGGGGGAGAGAGAGAGAGAGAGAGAGAGAGAGAGTTTTGGTCATTTCAGGACTAACATATGGTTCAATTTTAATTCAATAATTCGCTTGCGCGTAGGGGTCTTTAGCAGTGGAAGGAAACAGGAGGTTTCGAAGAAAACCCACAGGGTTGGACAGGCGACCCTACACCTTGTCATGTACAACATAAATTGAAAACACAGGTGGGTGAGGGGTATTTTGCCCTGGCTTATATCATCTATATAATAAAGTGGACTGCACTTTAAATACAGTACTATGCAAATTTTATATTTTTGCCTTCTCATGATGTATTTCTAATCTAAAAAAAAACATAAAATAAACAGTGTGTATTGTAATAGGCACATGTTGAGGCCTAGATTATGTACATGGCTGTAATAGAATCTGTATTCATTTTTCATACTTTATTTAGGTACGGTATTTGTTGCTGCATTATGTCTAGCAGTCATATTAGTCAGTAGTACTATGCAAAGTTTTATATGGTTTCCGAATTTGTCTACCATTTTGTTCAACTGCCCAACAACATGAAACAAACTGAGCATTACAAAAAGGCACCAGTAGGCCTACTTAATACATTTGGCTAGAAATAAGTTGAGGGCCTTCATCATACAATCTGAGACTATCCTTTCAATTGCAAAGTTGCAAGAGAGAGAGAGAGAGGGGGAAGAGCGAAGGTGAGAGAAAGACTGGAGAGAGAGGGGGAGTGAGAGAGTTTAACATCCACTCACACCAACTAGGTCAAATGGTTCAATTCTATTTCAATAATTCTCTTGCCTGTAGCAGTGGGAAGCAACCGGAGGACCCGGGGTGGACAGGCAATCCTATTCCTCGTCACATACAAGCGAGGAATGGAAACTATGCCACTGGACTCAATGACAGATCCTATGATCTAAATGACACATGTCAAACCATTCAGCCATCCATGTTGTAATAATTACCACCACACTACACTGATCACCTTGTAATAATCACCTATTTATTCATAATCATTCTAATAAAGGTGCTAAATTGCTAATATTTGGGAACTAGAAATTGACACAAATGGGTCGCAATGCATATAATAATGTAATATGCATGTATATAAACTGATTTACATTCAATCGTTTCTGGGTTTTTTTACTGTAATTTCTAATCAGTTATGTTCAACAAAATACGCCAGAAGTCTCAATCGATTGGCAATCTCTAGCGTCTGGTTATTCCAGTCTACATTGATAGTATATATTGCGCATGCTCTCCCGATAAGAATGTGGCGTCACCATTTGACATGACTTGTGGAATATGTCTAGCCTCATTCTTCGAGTCCCTTGTTACAATTGCTTTGTGTACCAATGGTAAAATATATATTTTGCTTAATAATAGGATATCGGAAGCCCATCTTTTCCCAGTAAGATCACAACATCAATGTTGATTTAAATTGACAAATAATTCGTGTTTTCAATGTCGAAGACTTTGGATGATTTTGAGTTAGAGACTTAGCTACTTTAAGATTTAGGCTTCTTTTAATTAACAATGAATAATGGGTCGAAAATTGTCTTATTTTCAAGGGCACTAATCACTGTCATTGTGACAAGCAGCCAACAGATTTGACTTTTCATTTCATTGTTTTACTGTCCAGTTAAAAAAATGCCAGGTGCACTCAACAGTGACTGCACAACTAAAATCATATTTCCTGATCTTTTTTTTAAAATATTTATTGTTTTAAGAACAGGCTAATAAAATGTTTGACTAACTCTAGATCCAAAAGCTCAATGGGATTTGCTCTAGCTATTACTACTATTAGCTTTTAGATGAAGTTTGTTTTCTATATATATATTTATTTTATGATCAGCAGTGGAATACCGCGTTTTATCAGTGAAATAAAAGTGTTATTCCACTGGCTAGTTGTTTTTACCTAAAATGATTGTAAAATCATAAAATAAATAGAACATTTGTCGTGAATAACATATTTTATTTCATCTCTAAGCAAGAAAACGTTTATATTTTCACGAATGCGTAATAAAATATGTTATTCACTCTAAAACGACAAATATCCTCTATATATTAGATCTATGGATTTTAAGTTATAGGCCTACATATTTATTTCTGAAGTGAATAATAACTATAACATAACCCACTATGGTTCAAATGTCATCAGTAGGAATTATTATCATCATACATATAGGTTAAAATATGATAACGTTACAACAAGGCCAACGTATTATCAGTATTATTCAATTGTCAATAAATAATACACCGCATAATACAGCTGACTGGTGACATTGAAAGGGCACCAATCGCAACTGTGCATAAACGTAACACGTGCGTGTATTGTAAATAGAATAAATAAGTATTTCGAAATTTATATAAACAATTTGCCTGCTAAAATGACGAAACAAACCCATAAATACTTACCCAGCGCCACCCCCAAAGAGGAATTTAATCGACTTTGGGATTTGAGCCGGAGCTGCCGAATTATTACTGGAAGCAGACATCTTGAGTTCTGACCTTCACCTCGAGTTTCCACCTTAAATGCACTCCGGTTGTCACGTGATCATGATCATGCCCGGGCAATATAATTTGATTTAATTTCCATTGTGCGCTCACGCGGATGTGCTCACGGATTTCCTCGATTTCTTTCAGCGATCATATCGTGCGAGTTAAAATCGTTCTATTATCCGTTAACTGCGTATAAATATGTATAATAACGAAAATACATTCTTTTCCCGTCATTTTTTAATTCAGTCCTCCCATCCCCGTTTGTGCAATTAAAATCCAATCATACTCACAGAGTCATTTAGTATTTAGCGTCAATTGTTAATCATTCATAACTATTGGAAGTACAGGTAGAACCCATTTACCTACCATATTTAAAATTGACACCATTTTCCCGTCTTCATTAGCCCAGTCGGGGTAGAACAGTGGGACGTTAAACACAATTTCATTTCAGTTGATACAATTTCAAAATTTACCAATCGCAATGGAAGTTTGATTTTAGTAATGGCCCACACAGTATAGACGTCCTATTTTTCTGCATTCAATGGGGACAATAAATTAATGTGCTATGGTGGGGGGGGGGGATTTTGCCAGGACAACCTCTTTTCCTATTGCCAAGGGTTCTTATACCAACCTCAGTATTCGTACAACCCGACCGACTAGGCGCTCTTCCTTGCCATACGCCGCCCTCCAAGTCATTCCACCATTGACGGGTTCGCTCCCGGTGTTTGCCGAGAAAGATCATCGGGGTTTTCCGACGTGGTTTCCCTTTGTCAGTGGTGCAGGACGGAGGGCCGGACAAGGACAGCTGTCTAGTCATTCGGATGGGACGAAAAATCGAGGTCCCGTGTTCACATTATCGTGCACGTAAAATATCCCTTGGCAGTTTGAATTCGATATAAGAGTAGGCCGTAGCGCCGCTGTCCGGGCAAAATTTCCCTCATAGGCATATGCCCGTCTTCATTAGCCCAGTCGGAGTAGAACAGTAGGATGCTAAACTCCATTTCATTTCATACACACCATTGACAAGTGAAAACAGGCTGGAAAATCCGAGCAACATGTTCGGCAAACACCTGGTGACAAGGGTTTTGGCATTAAAATTTAAAATATTTTGGATTTGAAGTGGCGCTTTTTGCCAGTTTGTAAAAGATTTTCGATTTGTTTATATTTGGCTATAAACAGCCAGACACCAAAATTAGATGCTAACTTTGAGACATAAGGCAAGTGAATCTAGTCGTTGGATGGGACGATAACCTGGGGTCCTGTTTACACGTTAGCGTTCACGTAAAAAAATACTTGGCTGTTGGAATTCGGTTTTCCGTCCCATCCGAACAACTATATACGTTGCCAGGACAACGGCGTTTCCTATTGCCAAGGGTTCTTATACCAACCTCAGTATTCGTACAACCCGACCGACTAGGCGCTCTTCCTTGCCATACGCCGCCCTCCAAGTCATTCCACCATTGACGGGTTCGCTCCCGGTGTTTGCCGAGAAGGTCATCGGGATTTTCCGACGTGGTTTCCCCTTGTCAGTGGTGCAGGACGGAGGGTCGGACAAGGACAGCTGTCTAGTTCGGATGGGAAGAAAAACCGAGGCTCTGTTATACACATTGGCGTGCACGTAAAATATCCCTTGGCAGCTTAAACTTGATATAAGAGTTCGCCGTATATAGCGCCGCTGTCCGGGAAAAATTTCCCACATAGCACACTGCATGGCGTATGCCCGTCTTCATTAGCCCATGCAGTCGGAGCAGAACAGTAGGACGTTAAACCCCATTTCATTTCATTTCATCTACACCATTGCCAAGTGAAAACCACGCTGGAAAATCCGAGCAACATGTTCGGCAAACAGCTAGAGACAGAGTTTTGACATTTAAATTTAAAATATTTTGGATTTGAAGTGACGCTTTTTGCCAGTCAGTAAAAGATTTTCGATTTGTTGATATTTAGCTATAAACAGCCAGACATCAAAATTAGATGCCAACTTTGAGAAACAAGGCAAGTGAATCTAGTCGTTTGGATTGGACGATAACCTGGGATCCTGTTTACACGTTATAGCGTTCACGTATAAAAAAAACACTTGACATTCGGAATTCGGTTTTTCGTCCCATCCGAACAACTATATACGTCGTCCCTTGTCAGGCCCTCCGACCTATACAAGATACGAATAAAACATTTTTAAAACTAAAATCGTTATATACATAATAATATTGCCATTTGCGCTATTTAAGGCAAGCGATGTAACATATTTTTTATACACAGGGTGGACAAATTCGTCCTTTTCAGATTTTCTGTGATATGGTAAAATAAAGGTACCTCCGCACCAGCCGGGCTATACTGTGCCAAACACTTAAAGAGACAGCAAGTCGAAATGTCATCTTAAGAAACACTTAAAATCTGTAACATAAGAGGTGTGTTTTCGTTATGAATCATGTTTTGGCAGAGAGAAAATTGGAGTGGCCTAGCTGGCATGAAACCCGAGACTTTACAGAAGCCGATGCCTGTACATCCTGCCACTGAGGAGGATAACAGCACCACGTGACCCTTTTCACGATAGAGAACGGTTCATGTAAATAATAGTCATACATCGACAGCCATCAAGAAAACATCATGAGGCTTATAACGGTATATATGACGTCTGTTACTTTCATCAAAAAGGTATGTTCATTAGTTTCAATAAACTTTATGTCGATTGTTAGTTTATAAATTATGATGCTTTATTCATAACTTATCTGAATGAACTTTGAACTAAGTATATATGTTGGGCTATATAGACAGACGGTGTCTGTTATCAGGAATCAGAATAACGCAACTGCCTGTGTATAGGAAGAAGACACGAGTTCACAACCATAGCCAATGGTACCATAGTAACAATATGCGATCGCAGATTGTTAGCGATCATCAATTATTGGGTCCATGATGTCATTAATTGTACGGGACTCTTTAATTTATTCGATTTTTGATGAGTGAGGGGGGTGGGGGTCTCACGCAGTAGGTCCTAATATTTCTATTTGTACCCGGATATCATCAGCCACCAATTCAACCGAATCTGTACCAAAAAGTTATTTCCGCATTTTAACGAAGGATATAAATATTGATAATATTACCGGTAGTTAGATTCTTGGTACTATATTATAGTCTATTGAAATATTAGTCTTGAAGATTCTGGTTTAAATCTGCCCCCTCATGTTAATAAAGTGTTAAGTGGAACAAACTGCAGAAGAGCAATGATTTCCCGAATTTCTGTGACTGCCTTGCTCGTACAGCACCTTGTACGAATTTTCGGTCGCTTGAATGTTCTAATATCTGACAAGGAGGTGGGGTAGGGGCGGGGGCTCCCATACGTCCTGTCCAGATGCAAGTGCTTACCATATAAAGTGTCTGATATTTTGTTACGTATAGTAAAATGGACTTTTCTCAAATTTCTATATAGATAGAATTTGTCTCCGGAGAGGTGGGGGGGGGGGGTCAAGGGGATTTTTAATTATCCAAAAACAGTTCAGTATTAGGGGATCCTGCTGGAGAATATATCAATTGTTATCATGAACGTAGAAATACTTCTACTGAAATGTAATTAAATCTTAACTCAATGCCGCTGCAATGGAAGATTCCTGTCAGTAAATATTGGATAGGAGTTATTTTTACCCCTTTCCTTTTAAAACAAAAATCACACAGTCTAAATTTTTAATTCGTAGATATGTTTTAGTTTTTGAAAAGAGATTGCCTTTATCAAATTTTATCATTTTCAAATGGATTTATCTCCCTTACATTGCAAATCGGATAAATTCTGTCGAGATTATAAAAATGAAATCTGTCTGACATGCAAGTTCAACAGTCTGTAAATAAAATTATCCGATTTTAAATAAGTGAGTGTGAATGAGAAGATTCCTGATCAAACAGAGCGTTGGGGAAATAACATTGATATCATTATTTTATAATAATAATATAACCCCTTCAAAATATAATATGATCGCCCGTGTGATTTGTCGCGTTTATGAAATCTGAAATGGTATGATCCACTTCCGGATTGAGAGGTTGACATCGATTTTTGTTACGTCTGCTTGGTGGATTCTTCGCTTTGTTGTATCACGGTGACATCACTTTATTTATCATTCAAAATGGGTAAAATTACGATATATGTCACCACGATTTCATGTGCAAATAATGTAAGTAGCAAAACTTCTCAGTTCTTTTCTTAAATGTTATGAACATTAACTATATTTCCCAGGTGCTGTTAACTGTTGTGTTATTCATTTTCTTCCTCGTCGCGTCACGTACGCCGGCCCATCAAGTACCGTACGGAAATAGCCAGCTCCTTCTTTCTCTAATTTATACCGTAATGAATAGAGAATTTGGGACAAATTTCGTCTGCTAAATAGAAATAAAAGCGGGAGTTCTACGCCCATGAACAAGAGCAAGAGACTCATATTGGCCGAATAGACGATCACATTTCTTGGGCATCATCAGTGACTACCAGTACCGGTACTATGAATCATTCATGGTCAAGTCAATTAGGTTTGCACTGAATATAATTTTTGTGTACCGGTATTGTCTTTTATCACTGGGAGTTTTTGCAATAGCAAATAGAAGATAGTGTATCATGTATGCTCTGTACCTGAATGTTTAATATTTGTTCCAAGGGTTTTTATACCACTTCTTCATGTAGATATATATTGTCATTGCCCATGTGACCGATGCCCTGTCTGTCCTGATGTTCGTCCGTCCACAATTTGTTTGTGGACACTCTACAGGCCACAATTTTTATCTGATTTTAAAGAAACTTGAAATATAGGTTTGTCTCCCAAAGATCTCGGTTTCTTTTGATATACCGTAGGCATATGTATTGAATCGTAACTTCATGGAGTATGGCCTCTGTCTCTGATTGTACGAAAAATCACATTTTTAGCTTGTGGACACTAGAGACCACAATTTTTATCCAATTTTTATCCAATTTTGATGAAACTTGAAATGTATGTTTATAACCCAACGATCTCACTTCCTTTCAATATTCGCGCATATCGGAC